ACTCCCGGTTGTGGAACACTGGAGATTGTGAGTTGCGTGTGGAGTAGTGGATGCGGCGGTAGCACGACGCGCGATGGAGCCGGCCGCCGGACGTTTGCTCGCTCGCCCGGCTGAAGCTTGCCGTGTGCGTGACGTTTAAGACTCGCATTAAGTGGCATTCACACTCGGAACAGCACCAGGTGGACAGTAGCGTCTTGTGATCAGGATGGCGAGATAGACGTCTCGACTAAAGTGTGAGGGTTACGTCACTACGTAAATATTAAATTATTGCAATAGGATTACCGGCAGAGGGAATTCGATTCTGATAGAAATAGAATCTCTAGATAACCTTAAAATACGATATATTCATCGGCGTTGCCTTGTGACTAAAAGATGTCCTTGCGATATACCATTTAACGATTCCACGATCATTGTCTCTCTAAATCATTAATCCCGAACGCACGGGTCATTCATTCTCTCCGATGCTCCAGGCGACGACTTGAGAATAACCGTCCCGTAACGTAACGTCGTCGGGCACTTTGTGAACCGGCATTTAGGAAAGTTCGCGGCGTAAGTAATGCCCTGTGTCCCGACCACGCGCCTTCGGCGTACTCTTGCTTCTCTTACTCACGCGATAGTGTACACGAAGAGTGAAAAAAAAAATGAAAAGAAGAAAAAAAATTCAATGACTACAACGGAGAGACTGGCGGCGCGGTACCAGAATATATGTGTGCAGGAGGGACAGGAAAAATTCAGAGAACAAAGGGTCTACCAGTTGGGAGGATGATGATCGCGCCTATATAGGACTACTATGTGTAGTACGTGTACTCTGGTGTAGCAGAAGGTGAGAACTGACCAATGACGACTTCAATGGGAGTACAAGTCTCCTGAAGTTTCAGATTTAATACCTTTGTCTTCGGAAAATGACGGAGTATCGTTGAAAACGTGGGAACGTTCTAAAAGACAAAGAAAAGTCTAATGGGTTTGAAAATTATTCTAGCGAGACATCAAATTTTAACCGTCCGATGCCCTGGAGGATTCAGGGCGATCGTAAACTCGAGATTCTGAGTTTGGCGATGTAGGCTGCAGCACAGTTTAAATTTACGTAAGTGAGGATTAATTGGCTTAGAGATAAATCTAATCATTATAATACCATTTTACCAGATGAAACTAGTAATCCAGAGAGAACGTCAAGATAAGGTCTGCATAACCTTGTGATAATCCCTCGAGGTGTTCCATCACTTTTTACTTATCAATAGACTGTCTTATGCATACGTGTGAGCTACACTTCTGTTGAAGTTCGGTACATTAATTATTGGTGGAAGAGACAATACAGTGTTTGTCTGAAATATAATTGCTATTGTAAAAAATGAAAAAAACGAATGGCCGAGACAGAGACGAGACTTCAGTGCGTAGCAGGATAAGAGACAACCCATAGGAATGTTTCTGGCAACAAGAAAGTCCTTTGAGCTCTCTTTGAATCTGGTTGAGGTGGAAGTGCATTATTTTCGTCCCACATCGAACGTGTACAGCCACGTGCGAAAGTTCGATACGATCCAAGCAGCGAATATATCACAGGTTGAGTCAAATGGTTTTACTCCGTAGCCAAATACGTATTTCAATGTCAGTCACTATGTGGAACGAAGCGTGATGGTGAAAAATTTCATAGAGAACCCAAAAAGGAACCCTAGGGTCACGTAAACAAAGCATAACGAGTAAGCCAAATGTCGGCCAGAATAGATATTCATCGAGAAACTTCTATGGGGATCTTTAGGAGAACATAAAGAGACCTACCTACACATATAGCTATAGAATCCCTAAAAAAAGGTAACGGTAAAGATATCCATTCTTCGAGGCATCCAAATTTTTCTATCTCACCATTAGAAGCAAAGCATCCACGAAGGGATTTTTAGTAATATCTCACCAATAACAAAATCTTGCTATACGTTTAATGAAAACACGGCCTGCGATGCTTTGCGGTTTATATAGTATACAACCAGCCACTGATTCTTCGTTTGACATAGGTAAGCCAATCCGTAACTTTAGACTGACTTGAGCGTTCGATAATGAAGATGACCAAAAATTGGATGATAAGAAAATGGCAAAAGTGGCATATAAATCTGTCTTTCCAAATGCTTATTGACAATGAGATTTTATCCATAGATCATTCAGTCCGTTCGAGCGATTGCAGGTCATGAAAAAAATACTCAAGAAAATTGCCTGGAATCAATGGAAAGAGTACGATTATCCCATAGAGGGTATCACAGAAAATTCAATCGGTGTACATATATAATTTTATTCTGCAACTCGTTGCGACCTGGCTCTCTCCAGATTATTCCGTGCTGCTTCTCTTTGTGCGTCATGTCCCTCGTCATACCCATAGATGGAAATCGTAGCCAGTAGCATGCACCGGGCTACCAATGTCCTAGTGGCGCCTCGCTCTGCGAATACTATATTCGAAATAATTGCCGCTGCTACCATCGAGTAGAGAACGAATTGAATCAATTTCAAGTGTCATTGATTATCTATAGTAGGAGTGACTTACGGCATCCGGGAACGAATTAGGATTGAGGACAATCCAAGCCAAGGATAAGCCAAGGGTAGAAAATTAGAGTGGTGTTGCAATTCTGAAGGAACAAAGATACAATTCTTTGGAGATTGAATTTACTCGGTGTATTTCGCGCCACCTTTAATGAAACCGACGAACTTTTACATTTATGAAAGGACTCATTCGGTAGAACGAGAAAAAGATTTCCGTCGGTAAAGCAGATACCTGGCGGATTATCGATTTCTTTTTTCCACTGCAGTAAAAAGAAAGGGCGTGGAACGAAACCCTAAGAGAATATAGCAAATAATGGGTATTTCCTATGTTAGAAATAAGATTATTTATCTATAAAATAACGCTTTACATATGTTTCACAGCTCTGACATTTCACACAATGAATATAACAATATTTTATTCTAAAATGGTCACTGTTCGCGAGGGTGCAACAAGTAAGATGATTCATCGCCTTAACAAAAAATTCACCCCACGTATATCAGCACCTGCCCTTTTCCTGCACGCAGCACGCACAGGTGCTGGCAATTCCATTTCATCGATAAGAAATCGGTATTGCTACCCTTGGAGAAAGAAATACAAGTACGGTTTTTACAGAAGCCGTTGGCAATAGCTATAAAAAATCTGTGAAAAGGAATGGCATAATCAAATAGAATTTTGAATACTCACAAAGGGATAGTTACTTCCGGTGCGTTGCGTACGTTAGTAGAATTAAAACGATATTTGCTATTGTTATTTATGCAAAGTTACTAATGCTATTTCTACCTGGAATAGCTAGTAGTCACACTCTGAACAAAGAAATGCAGTTGAGATTTTTTAGCGTCAATAAAAATGTATATTAGAAGGTTTAGTCCGTTTACTTAATTCTAGTTTATCTGAAATAATTTATAGGGAATAAATCCGGAAGGACATTATACTATATTTGCATTCTACCGGTAGAACGGATTCAGGAATATCGTAGCGACATATAATCTACGAATCTAAAGAATGACTACGTGATCTTATCAAAATAGGAATTACAATAATGTGCAATTGAGTAAGTAAATCCTTAAAATCTCTAAGGAGTTAGAGGATTTTGACGAGAGTTCGTTGCTTCCCCAACCAAGAGGCAAAAAGTAAGAAATGCCACGACTGACAGAAGGCAAGATTTATCTGGTTGTATCCGGTTTAAACTGACCCGTTGTAGAGTGAGTATGCCTCTGTAAAACGGAGCACCGGCTACACCGGTTGTAAAATCAAAATTCGACTATAACCGGAACATGAGAATCATGAGAAAACATTCCAAGTCGGCTGTCATGTCAACAAAAATAAAAATGACACATAAGATCATTCATAACAACGAGGCATATCTTTACGGTACATTGATCAAAAGATTTGATTAACTTATCATCTTCGTTAGATGGGCAAGATGGATAATCCGCGAATCTTTGTGCACTTCGACATGAGAAAAAAAGAGTGGCGGGATAAAAAAGGTCATAAACCCTCTATGGTCAACCCCATAAATATTGTACTAGGTTGGAAATAAAGATTGTTACTCACTTGCTGGAGTTACGGGTTTTGTCGGTCAAACCTTGGAATGTTCCTGTAGACGTCATTGTAGAATATGCTTGGCAGAAGTCCGTTGAAATATAAAGAAAATTCTACAATATCCGGTCAGTGGATTCGTTACTCGCAGGAGCACCAAGCACGACTCTTCCTTGGCGAGCGAAATCAAATACCGTTGGTTCACGCGATTGGTAGACTGCACCGAGTGTTGTGACGTCATTAACTGGTCAAAACACTACTGTAATTTTAGAAAAGACTCGTTTAGTAAACGTTATTTCAATATAAATATTACTTACAATATTAATACATTTATATACATTTAATCACAGTAGATTCCCTATGGGTTTCTTTGAAATATTTTGATATTGAATTTTTGAAAGTATCCTTGAGCTACTATTTCTGGTAGATCTTCTTTATCCGTAGAGAATTCACCTACGGATGTACTTTGGCTTGATTCACTTATGCCTTGTAAAAAATTATTTTCGTTTACACTTATTAATACAAAAAGTGACTTATATATTCTCAATGATTCTCTCAGAATTCGAAAGTGTATTATGTTCATTTAGGTAATCTTTCTTAAACAATGCTGAACGACACTATTGTAAAATTTGAATATAGTATAGTTGAACTATATTATGTTAAGATGGCGCATTGAGCATATTTTCTATAAAGTCCCTCTAGAAAGAAGCCAACACCCGGAAGGGACACCATATTAAGGGCTTGTTTGGCATCACCATGACATTGCGCGAGACTCGGTCGAGTCTCGCGCCAAGTACAGGCAACCCGCCGTACAGGGCTAACACTACCCAACTACACAATGCGAATCTCTCCCATATACGTATTCACACACACCATTCTATTCCGGAAAGAGCCCATAATATGGCGGAGCCAATCACTAACAAGCCCCACCGTTGGCCGGACTCTTACTAGAGGGACTCTACTTTTCTATATAAAGTATCTGATGTAGGTGCATCAAAATCCAAATGCCTAAGTAAACAAATGGTTGGACAAATTGTGAAATTTATCTATTATTTCAGTGAAAACTATATTTTCTTGTACGTTTAGTTCGTTAAGTAATGGGAAGACATATTTTAAACTAAAAAATGTTAAACCAAGCAGTTGTCGATGCTCTTTACTCAGCGACCTATATCGAAAATTATTTGGATTGTGTGGAAAATTTACCAAATGATCTGCAAAGAAAAGTTTCACGTCTTCGTGAACTAGACGCGTCGTGTCAAAGTAAGTTGTATCTTTCGATATTTCTAACATACTACACATATAATGAACAATCCTTATGCTTAAAAACTATCTTTTACTGAAAGGTCTGTAAACGTATTTTACGCATAGTCTTTTGTGTTATTACATGTAAAGGATTTTTTTCAATTCAGCTTACTTACGTGAGGTTGATCAGCAACAGGAGGTGCTAAGAGGAGATACAGATGTGTCAACTAGAAGAAAGGCCCTACTTCGCATACAACAAGCATTGATTGCAGCCCAAGAAATTGGTGATGAGAAATTACAAATTGTATCACAGGTCCATGAGCTTATAGAAAATAAATGCCGCCAGTTGGATCTAGATTATCGTAATTTAGGTATATATATGTCATTCGACATACTTTCTTTTCTTTTATATCAAGGATAGACAGGTAAACCATAATACATTTTTTGCTCACAGATTTTGGCAAGGAACAGGAGAGCACAGAACCAGCACGAGAATCAAATGCAAATGTCAATACAAATACTACTGGTAACACTAGTGTTACAGAACGGCAACCAAAACGTGCGCGAAGAACAAGAACAGAAACCCTGGTAGAATCTGCACATGCAATGGACATGATTGTCATGACAGAAACTCGTTCAGCTACTCTTTCTAATGCCAATAATTGCAACCAGAAGAAAGCTGCTGCAACAAACACTGGTAAGAAGAAGAAAAGAAAAGCTCGGCAGGGTACACAGCAGAATCAACATCGCGAGGATACACCACCGCCTCCAGAAGACGATTTGACAATAGATCCAGATGAACCAACTTATTGTCTTTGCGATCAGATCTCGTATGGAGAGATGATTCTCTGTGATAATGATCTTTGTCCTATCGAGTGGTTCCATTTCTCATGTGTTTCATTGAGTACAAAACCCAAAGGTAAATGGTTTTGTCCCAAGTGTCGAGGAGATAGACCTAATATAATGAAACCAAAAGCACAATTTCTTAAGGAACTGGAGAGGTACAATAAGGAGAAGGAAGAAAAATCGTAGCAGAATGTAACCACTTGAATTACACACAAACTTTCTAAAGACCAGCTCATTATTTTTGTTTCAATTAAAGATTAGAGGTTCCTAACTTGACCGTAATTATTTTAAACTTACAGCTTCGTTTCTTATACAATGTCAAATACGTCTCTCAGTACGATATAGGAATCAGTGAAATATTGTCATTAGAGTTTCAGCTGCTTCGAATATTACTGGCAATTCTTTTTAATTACACTGATCAATTAATTACATCGGTAACTGTAATTATGTATATGAGTAAGTGATTTCGTTTACAATATATGGTTTTGTTGACCAATAAATTCTTTGATAAATGGATTCTGACCATTCATTTTAACAAATACCTGCTAAAATTATCTTTACGACACGGTCGTTCATAGCAGACTGTTAAATATTCCTAAGAAATTTCTAAATGAAGAAAAATTTGTGTCTTATTCCCATCTTATCACTCCTCTTATCCCAATACTACATTTTCTTTAAAAATTCACTACATCAAACGTTCAATCTGAAGTGCATTAATCTCTATATACTTATTGTTTATTAGTGTGCATAATCTAATATTACTCGAAGAATATCTAAAAATTACATTGTGGATGAGCTAAAAAATGATATGAAGTATATGTATAATTATGATGATCACATATGCTCATGGCGTTACTCCATGTTATTAGTCTGCCTCTACATCTGCTTCTCCTTTTCTCCCATTTCTTTTATTTCTTCGAAGAACCTGAAATCCAAAAACGCACAATGTAGCACACAATATCCATGGAATTGTGATATACGATAAATACATATTGACTAATACAAAAAAAAGAATTCTACCTAATGTCAGCGAGGATCCTCCGTATGGCTTTCTTGAAAGTTCAACCAAGACTGCTCAACGACCGTTGCGACTCTTTTCTCATATTCGCGCTTATTTTCTTGATACAATTGAGCCGCAAGAGAATTCGCTGGAGAATTCGGATTTGGCTCATCCAAAAGAGACTGAAACACACATTTGCAATTCATTTATTTAAATTGTAAAAGGAAAGTTCGATAGCACCTGGGCTTTAGCGACACTCATCACATCACTAATTGGAAATATTGCTCGATGGCAATTATACACTAAAAAGTAGAACCGCGTGTTCAATTAATAATGAAAATATAAATTGGAGTTATGTATTTTTATTACATCTTTTTTTTGTGTCTGTGTGTGTGTGTATATATATATATATATCGACAAATTTAGGTACTAAATGAAGTACTAAAATTAAATCGAAGTACAAGACTGCGCTTGCCATAAGGGAAATTGCTTCTAGCATAGAAACAAGAAAACTATATTATAATAATAATCCTAATATTAAATATTTATAATTTCGCATAGTTTTCTCTTCATCACTCATCTTCACGTTCTCCTCCTCCTCCACCCTCCTGTTCCATTCTTTCTCACAATTTCACATTTATTTTCGTTCCTCCTCTTATTCATTCTCTTTCTCCTCTCTTTCCCTCTCTCTTCGAATGTCGAATAAATAAATACACAATTTTATAATAATTTATTATACAACATTGTAAAAATTCGGTCTAATGTTGCACATTATGGTACTTGAATGGAGGTTTCTTCTTTTTTTTCTTTAGGGAGTGACATGCCAAACGTTGGCATTCGCTGCATGGTAAGGCGGCACGTTCTCCTTGCGTCTGATGGTTGGCTGATCAATGCTGCGACAGCGGCGAGTACACCTGCCACTAATCCACAAAACTCTGCTCCACACAAGCCTTCACTCGCTTCTCGTACTCGCGTCGGTTCTCTTTGTACAGTTGTGCTGCCATCGAGTTAGCAGGTGAATTCGGGTTCGGGTCACTTAACAGCGACTGCAACCACATAAGTCGTACTTGTTATATGTATGTAATTGGGCAAACTCTTTCTCCTTCATACATACATAATTCATACATACACATTCTCTCTCACTCTCTCTCTCTCTCTCTCTCGCTATGTATCTCTTTTCTTAATTGTCCTCAGTGTCCATATACCAATTTACCCATGAACTAATAAACACTACCTTGGTATAATTAATAGAAATGGCCACACTGAGAAAAGTCGTAGAATGAAAATCACTATTTTATAAAGATATGGAATATTAGTGAATCAAAAAGCTTGAAACAGATTCCTTTGATTTTTATAAACAAGGCGAAAGGTATTTCTTTTTCTTATAACAAGTTAATTAGACTTTGCTGAATTGCAACCGCTGTTAAGGCAAATATAAATTTTGGCTAATTTTTGTCAGTAGCTTTACTTGTAGCAAAATACAGTTTCCTATCAAAGATTAGATTAGTATTTAATAAATAATTTATTTAAGAAAGACATTCACTACAGGAGAATATCTTCCACTTCAGTATTTACACAATCGTTAAATATCATTCGGTAGGCGTTCGTATTTTCATGTCTGAAATTTTAATCGGCTAAGTTGTCTCACGATGTCGATAGCTCCATTTGGTCCAGTGAGAAATTGTTACTGTCCCACAGAATATTTTATAATATTGCTATGCAATGACTTCAATGAGCTTTAGGAATTGGTGATGGTTCAATCTGTTAGTTCAGAGAATCATGCTATGCAGTATCTTGAATTTTATTAAAAACTGAAGTACTTTACTTATAATATTACACGAGTACGACGATGATACGTGCTACGAATATTTTAATTACATGAGGAACGGAGAATCAGCCGGTGTAAGCATCAAATACAAGCCACCATGCACGATAAAGCGAGTCACATTCATACTTTACATTTAAAATTCTTTGTTTTATGGATTAAACAACGTGTATATATACATTTTATAGTTTACTAAAGATATACATATATCCGGGACTATCCAGATTCAACACACCAGCTCAATTTACTCGGTTAGAAATTAGTAGTTTTCTACGTTCAAACTGCACGTTACATTTCAGCTAAATAAACCTGTATATTTATAATTTTATCTGCACATCGTGTATTCTATGCAATTCAGTATGTAATATACATTAAATATTGGAATTAAAAGGAAAACACATAAAATATCAACAAATTATTGTAAAAAATGTTGGTAATTATGTTTTCATGCAACGCTAGATGAATTATTTGACATAGGAATTATTGGTTTGCTCTTTAGAGAAGGAACCTCAACATAGCTATGTTTCTTCAATCATTTATGTAAGCTCAAAAACACAAAATAATCAATAAAGAGTGTAGTTACCTGTATGGATGTCAGAATAGCAGAGACGTCGTACGTTGGACTCCAGCGGTTCTGTAATATGTCTAGACAGATTCCTCCATCGGCATATACGTTAGGGTGGAACATCTTACTGACAAATCTCACTGTGGGTGGTTTGTTTGGATATTCCTCTGTGAACTCTATTGTTAGTTTGAAAGTACCATCCTCAAAGGGAGTGTCGTGTGGTCTGTAATTATATAATTCAACAAACAAATTATCAGATTTGAAAAAAGTACTAATTTCAAAATGATATAAATTTTTCCTTTCTTAACAAGGAAAAATATAAAACTCTTTAAATTAGAACTTACCCAAATATAACTGCATTCCATATCATGATATTATTATCTGTTGGTGCACCTGACACTCCAGTGGGTGGATCTTCTTGTAACCTGTCAAAAGAAAAAGCAAAATATAATGTTTAAGACTATGAAGTTTAATAGAAATAATTTATTATATTAACACATAAAAAAAATAGCAAATAATCTCTGTATCAGTTTCTCCAAGTATTATAACTTTCTCTAATTAAACTACTTTCCAAACCTCTAATAAAAGAAACAAATATTATAAGGTATGACAAATATTTTTCATAATTGAAAAGAACTAGTAATAAGTTATAAGGGAGTAAATATTATATCCAGGAATACACAAAATAGACATGTAAGTTTGCATCATTCTAAATGTATCCAAAAGGAAAGTTGAACTCATAAAAGTGAGTCACAGGTATAAAGATTGGGATGAGGTGAAAGACACAGCTATTGTGTTTATCAACCTTCCTAAATATCCTGCCAGTGCAGTAGCTAGAAGTCATTTGGGAAGTATGTAATATAAGAGACAAATGACTTTGTATAATTAAGATAGATGAGCAAATTTAACCAGTACCATGGAGCATCGCGTCTAGGCCGAATCAAATATTTGCGTGAACGAAAATAAGACGCGCCTCGCTATCGCAGGCTTCTAATAATAACTTAGAAGCACGAGTCACGATGACGTTGGCGTGTAGGACAAGGATGTATAAGTGCGTTGATGTAGATATTTCTTTGAAAGAATCGTGAAGAAGTTAGACGCGCGATAATAATTAAAGAAGCAGGTAGCATAGTAAGAAAAACAGTTAGCCGTGATAATATAATTGAAAACGATGTCTACCTCTTGAAGTCTCTCATGAGTCTCCTTCTCGCAGGAGTGGACATTCCTGACGAACGGCTAGGTCGTCCCGAACTTGGTAAAACGTTGAATATGTAGCGTGTGTATTGAATGTCCCTGTAGGGTTACTCTCACTGGCGTAATAGGTCTCCAAAAGTCAAGAGTCCAACGGGTTCTGAATTATCTATGATCGCTTCTTGCGACCCAACTCCTCTTACGAGCGAGCTGCTTTTTAATCCTAGAACAGGATGCTGCGTACGTCTTTGCCTTATGCGAGTATCAGAAGGTCGTTCTGTGTTGCGCTGCTTGCTGATACCGTTACACGTTGCCGCGAGCCTTTTCTTCCGCGTTAAGAGAATCACCTCCAAACAAAAAACCGATCGTCTAAGTAACGAGCGTACCACTAACGCTGAATTTTCACCCTCAGTATTCAGGGCTATGCACTTTCACCAAAAACCGTACGGTGATGGCCACTCGGAAAATATTCTCTCAGCGTACTGCCAAAACGAGGGACAGCTGGACATGAAGAAGCATCGCGGACAGATGGGCTGTTTCGCGCATGACGTCAGAAATTTAAATCAACCAGCAGAGCCAATCGTTTTCAGGAACGTTCTATCACGATTGTCCGTCCTCTGGTTCGGTTCACATTGAACTGGCAAATTTATATTGCGTTTAGCTTTTATTTGCTATTCCCATTAGATGGTCAGTGGAAATTGGGTTCGTTTAGTTTGAGTCGATGATATGTAACTCCGAATCCAATAGGCCTCTGTAAAATTACCCGGACAAATTCGACTTTTTTAATTAATATCCAATGGAATTGTTCAATTTGTGCTAAACAACTGCATGAGAATTATACTTTTGGTTGGCATGAACTTACTTGGTAAGGAAGGAGAATTGCGTGATTGGTAGAACAAACAAACAGTTACTAAACATTTCGTTTATTGGAAGCGCCATCAAAAGTACTTTTCGTGTCAGTCTACCATTTGCATTTGGCAGGTTATTTTAACCTTTCATCCATAACCTGAGGCCTTGGAGATAAACATAACAGCATACAGTGCATACCTCCGAATTATTCGAATAATCGAATTTACTGTAATTAGGAATAATTAGATACATAATGGTAAGTGATTATTTGGTTTGCTTCCGATTTGTTTTATAATACGTTGAATAATAGCTTTATATTTTGACATGTTCTAACCTAGAAACACTTATTTCATTCCTTCGTTTAGGACGTATTTCTGATGATCAGGAGAAAGAAAATGACAATATTCACTGATGCCAAGGATAATACATCTGTGATTGAACTTAAAAAAATTATTGAAGGTGAGAATCAAATTTTTTATCATTTAAAACATGTTTCTTAGTTCTCATCAGTAGCATGATGATTTGTTCAAAATCATTATGAAAATGCTTTTAACTACCATGCATCAATACATTATGTTCTTGTATCAATTTTCTTCTAGGTATATTGAAGATACCACCTGTTAATCAGCAACTATATAACAAGGACAATGTTTTGATGTCTGATATGAAATTTCTCTCGGATTATGGTCTTACGTCGGCTACGGCTAAAGCACAATCCCCTGCATTGATAGGACTTGCTGTGCGCCAAGAGAATGGACAGTTTGAACCACTTGAAATGACTCCGTTCTCATTACCTCCTGATTTGCCTGATGTGATGAAATCTCAAGAAGCTAATGGACAAGAGCAATCTCCTTGAATCACAATGAATTACTGCGAATTAATCGACGATTAAGTATCGAGTTCAATTCTTTAATAATCGTCATAACTCCAACAGGCATTGGAGAGTCCATGAATGAGCAATGTGAATATTAAATATATATACATGTATATATATACACGAGTTTGATACTGATATTAGAATCACATTTCTTCTAATATCGGTGAACCCCTTGTAGTCAAAACATTAGATAGTCCCAATGGATCATATCATCGATCCAACAAAAGATCAAGTATTTTGTAGACTTAATTGCCTGAACGAAGCCAATACAACCACAAGGAACCACATCCACGAATGTCTTTCAAAATTACTAAATTGTATCCAAAACAAGAAAAAATTCATTCAAATATATCCATTTATTTCATTACAATTATTAAATCAGGAAGAATCCTTAAAGTAATTTATACTATTTTGAAATCTAACTGAATTATTCCTTTGCAAAACGAGTCTTGTTTGTAGTGAAAGATTTTTCTGTTTCTCCTTAAACACTAATCTATTCTATTGCTTGTCTCATTGCGAGTTAACACTAATTAACTTTATCCAATATCCAAAGAGGTTCTGTTAATATGGTTTTGCAAGTGCCCCCCTTCCCTCCCCCATAGGAAACAAAAATGTGAGGCTTTTGAGACTGGTCTAGTAATATTAATATCGTAGATAAGGAGAAATGCTTACACATGAGCAGGGCAGTTAATTTTACCAACATCACGCAACTTTGCACGTGTACCTTGTTACCATTCAAATGACACAAATTTATTAACTCAACTCGATTGAACCTATCAAGCATAAACATTGTTCATTAGGCACAAGATATTTCTTTGCACCTATAACAATTTTTTAAAATAATTACTGCTCCTAAATGTAGGAGAGATACTAAAGGGTTTATCAACTTGTATGAAATTATTACAAAACGTAATAGTTTAATTCAACTTGTATTATCATGAGAATATATGCTGTCGTTTGTATTAAAACTTAAGAGCCTGATATACGATTATTTCAGAAAAATTAAAACATTTTCACCAGGATATTGATTGATGTAACTTCTTCAAAACCTGAATTGACTCGATTTTGTCAACAGCATAACAAACTCTCCTCTGCCTGAAAGTACTGTTGTTTGTTTACTTGTTATGATAAATTAATATTATCCTTTGATTTTTTTAATCACTTATCCTAAGCTGGTCTTGTAGTTAGGTACAATTTCGTGATACACAACAGAGAAATTTTAAAGTATGTGAACAATTGGACATTGAATCGTGATACATGAACACATGATACGTATGAACACAGTTGAAAGTAGCAAACCAGTGTGAATGTGTGAAGGCATGTTAGAAACGTTATTAACAATAACAATTACTTGTATTATTAATAGATCGTTTTGTAGACACATGCCTTCCAAAGTTTATCAAATTCACGTGGTGATCAATTGCTCGACACTTTTCCCTTAGAGAAATTACAAATTGTGGAACTTAAGAGACAACATTTATTTGATTTTACTAACGAATTCCATACTATGGAACATGATTTCATCTGGAATAATTTAAAAAGGTGTCCAAGTGCAATTTAGTCAGAATTGGAAAAATTCAAGTTGTGACAGAAAATTGTCTTGTAAATTGATAAGCAGAAGGTCCTCTTTTCACACAATCAATTTTGAAATAATTTGTAACGATACAATTTTTTTATCACGGTAATGGTAAAGTTTGAGATTTTAATAATACAATAATTTAAAAGTATATATTACAAATTGTATGAAGTATATATTCTTTCCCCTGCTCCCTTTCCCAATGTTATTAATTCACTGGTATTACCATTCAGGTTGTATTCATGTGTCATAATTTCAAATTTTGTTGTATATTAAAACCTATTATGTGATATTTTCAAGCAGTAAATTAAGTAATCGAAATTCGTTCTTGGTATTTATTTATACTTAAATTCGTGATCTAATATTTAGCAATTCTGTAATTTGTAATAAATTTACTAATATTATTAAGTTCTCTTATTCTTTTTCTTTATACATAATATATTCACAGATATATACTATTATTTACTCTCTAACATTTCACTAATAAAATCACTATATATATCTTTTTTACTTGGAACATAGTGTCCTCCCTTGTGTATCTTTCTACTTACATTGCTAAATAATTCAGCTAATTCTTCTGCCATTTCTATAACAATACATTTTATTTTAAGTCAATTTGAACCTAACATGTTTCAATAATAAGTTGCATATTAAAGAAAATCTTGCAAGAAAGAAATATTCTTACCTACAGGAATAACTTGATCGCCTACTCCATAGACATGTAGAGTAGGCAAAGTAATTTTTTCCATGTAAAATATATGGTGAACAGCACATAATGACTTGAAGCCTGATATAATAATAGCAAATTTAAATTTAATTGGGGTCACTGCAAAAATATGACATGCATTTTAATTTCTAACCAAGATAAGTAGTTTTCTAGATTATTGTAAGTTGAGTATTACAATTCTTTTGCTGCATGGCGCATAATATTGAAACAAAAGCAGCGCCTTGTGAAAATCCAAGTATACCATCAAATGGATCTGATTCTTCAAAGACACTTTCAATTAAAGCTAAGCTTTCTTCAAACCCAACTGATAGATCACTTGAAATAGTAGCTTTGAATGTCTTATCTTGGGTACTGAACCACCAACCATATCCTACACAGTGATTTTTGCAGATTAATAATAACATTACTAAAATCATCATAATTACGAAATAAAGGAATTATTACCATTTGTTTCTGAATTATCCTTACTATTGTTACTTGCACTAGGTACTTCATGTGGTGCTCTTACAAAAGTAAATTCAATTTGCTTTTTGAAAGTCTTTCTTAATGCTCCTAATTTTGCTTTGAAAGAAATATCAGACTGACGATATCCATGAATAGCCAGTATCTACAATAATGATATAAATATTATATACATATATGTTGCTATAACAATCTTTTTCTTTTTGGATCATAATAAATGCTTGCCATATAATTATGGTATAGTATAAAGACATTTTCTCACCCGTAATTTCTTGTTTATTGCAGTCATGATTTTGACGAAAATGAATGGAAATTGCCTTATAAACCTTACTACATGTATTTATATAGGAAAAACTTCTTATTTTAATAAATGAAAAGAAGGACCTAATATTTAACAAGATAAAATTTCAAAAATAGTTTTAAGTTAGTTCGAGCATCATTTTATATTCTGACACACTAGTTTAGGTTATGTTTCATCCAGCATCTGTTACAGAATGTCATAAATTAATTACATATTTATTTGACCAAATATTCATAACACTGGGAAGAGAATTTTATATACTTGATACATAGCTCGTATAATGTACATTGATACTTTCCTATTAATTATTACATTGCATATCAAGTCTTAAACGAAATATATTTATATTAACAATAGAAATTACTGTAATAAAATGGAAGCATTGAATTCAACACATCATTATAATACAATTAATGACCGTTTTATTAATTCAAAAAGTATACAGCATAAATATGCAGCTATAATTATAGTATATGCTTTTTATTTATCTGTAAACAAATGCTTTGAGCTTATTGGCAATATTTGATGCGTTATGCTGAAAATAAAATAAATTTTCTTTCAAATAATTGAATAAGCACTGTGATAAACAAACTTTTAAATTGTAACTCATTTAAATAATGGTTTAGAATTACAAATCAGCAAGGTCTACTGCATCCACTTGTGTGCTAATTGTTTCCTCGATATTCTGAGATGTGTCAGGTTCACTAGAATAATCCATTCCTCGAGGGAAGTCTAGCTTTGCCCAAGATCCAGGTTCTGCTTTCTTTAATTTAATTTCTACCTTAGTTGGAAGCATATTTACACTGCTTTGATTCACGTCAACGATCTAAATAAATATTTTTATTAGCATCATTATTTCAAATATTTAATAAACAAATAGACATGATACAAAATATTTAAGAACGTACCCCTCTTAATTCAAGATCTAAATTGTATTTAGAGTTTTCTTCTAAGAAGAATATCTCTACAGAAAGTCGTATTGGATTTAATTTCACAGAAGATCTATCAGGCTGGTATTTTTTGGCATAGACTGAAATTACTACAAAAGATCCAGTTTGATGCCAATCCATTCTGCATTTCACTTTCTTATCTGTGTTCTGAAAAGAAAGGGAATATAAGCTAACGAGTCATTAGTAAATATTTATTAATTTGAACAAAACAAATTCTTACTTTAGACTTCCACAGATGTTTTCCTTGTGTACATCCTGGTTGCTCCAAAAATGTAGAGAAATCTGTTGTTTTCTTTTGGCAGCAAGACCAATATTTGAGGCCCTCATGGAAGATTGGTACACCAGGATGATGAACACATTCACCTTCATCTGATCCAGGACCTTGATACGTACTCTTGCAAGAGTTATTTTTACAATTTTCACCAATAGGTATAACATCCTCTTTAGTGTCGGTCAATTGGGTAGCTGTCAGTCCTTCAATTTGTTGTAACAAGGCAGGAGACACTACAGGATTTAAAGTAACTTGAGGACTATCAAATGCTGGCCTTGCCAGACTTGGTCCATTATTAAGTGGCTGTGCAGTGACCTGTATTATTTCATTTGCTTTTGATTTATCAACGGCAGGTTTCTCAGGTTCCAATGGTTTTTCATTAGAATGACCTGACTTCGTACAGCCTTTAATATTTAAAAACTCTGTAAAATCTGTACACTTCTTGTTGCAACATGACCATCCTTTGTACGCATCATGGAATACAGGTACCCCAGGATGATGAACACACTCATCTATGACAGAACATAAAAGAACGATGACATCTCGACCGTATTCAATCACTATATTAGTTAAATATAAAACATTAATTAAATAATCTCTACTCTTACCATCTTTGCTGTTACTCGGATCAAATTTCTGCCCACAACCACGATTATAACAGTGGAGAAGAACTTTTTCTTCCGACATGACTTCTGTCTCAATCGAGCGGTAAACTTTAACTGAACACAATCTCTGGTTCTGTCAGAGGTTATACGAGTAATATTAGGCCTGACACATGGGGTGCCAAGTTCCCCGTGGTTAGTCTTCAAATTCTAGTACATTCTCGTAGCTTCCTGATCGATTTATGTACATATATACACCAAAGCGAAACAAACTTTGCGATGCACCTTCGTAAATGCGTTCCGAACACGATTAAAGACAAAAAATGTAATCAAAATTGTTCACACATGCTTGCTGACGTCATTAAGATCGCGCGAAGTAAACTAGACACACAGTGACTATACTTTATCTATGTATATATATCATATAAGGCACTTATACATACATCTATATACACATAACGTACGTTACATGCTTAATCATGAAAGTTGGAAATGCGATGATCCAGTAGAAGATCGTCAGTTGCTCGAAAACTGTGTAACCAGCCGCAAGTGTTAAAATAAAATTTTAATTTGCCATTTAGTAACAAATATATACTACACATACATATATTGAGTCATAATCTGGACAATGATGTACCGCTGGACGATAATTTTTCTAATTCTGGTACCAACGTTACTAGAAGCTAATAGAAGATTCGCCGATTCATATGAGTATGAAGAATGGCAGGAGTTCAAAGACTTTCAGGAATGGAAAAGAACAAAGAAAATTCGTGGTGATGCACTCGAAGATCGTAAATTTGGCCAATTTGTTCCATTAGAAAGATATTACAAAAGAAAATCGTACGAAAAGCATTATCATCATAGGCCTCAAGGTTTTGAAGATCCACCGCCAATAGACCAGGCTGCCCTTATGGGACGTTATATAGTCAATCAGGCTGGTATGATCTTTCATAATTAATACTTTATCAATTATATTTCTAATAACGTCCCTGACTCTTTTGTCTTCTGGCACCGTTGTGAATTCTATTTATAATTCCTTCTACTTATCTTTCACATTCACTGACGAACTGACGTAATCTGATGTCTATTTAAATTGCGCGCTTTTATATACTATATTCCAATGGATTATTTGATAACATAATTTTTATATTAATTTATGATGTTCAGAATGAACGTTCTATTTAAAGTTTATGAAATTCGTTTATAGACTGGACGGCTGTGGCGACTATCAGTTCCCGAAGGGAAACTGAAACCTTTCCATTCGTTAATGTAATATCCTGTAGCGATGGTCCTTTAGGTAATGGATCTGGCATTCCTTATTTATATTTGACTCCATTAGATTTTACAGCACAAGATGTATCCGTGAGTATTTTCGAATATTTGCAATAATAGTATTTGCTTTTTATTCGCATTTCGATAAATTAACTGATATGCATCGATACGAGATATTTGGCTTAATTAAGTATACGTCAGAAGATAAGATAACAATGCTGTCTACATATTATCATTTTTGTATCCGATTTTCCCGTATAGAAAGATCATCGTTCCACTCTCATGATGACTCTTGCACAAGGTGATTACTGTAAACAAAAGGTATGGGATCCCATGGACCCTCGTTGCGCCAGGATCGTCCTTACAGGCAAAATTAAACCGGTTAGTTATAGATCAATTAACAGCTGCTTTAGTCTTGGCAGAAAATTGATGTTTTGCATTTCAGATAAAGAATAATACTGCTGAATACAATATTGCGAAAAGTGCAATGTTTATTCGTCATCCTTGGTTGGCTAATATGCCAGCTGGTAATGTTTTTCGTTATTTTATAGTTTTCAAAATGGCTCTTATCTAAATGGACAAGTTACAATAGTCATTGTTATTATCTGTATTTCAGATCATCACTTTTTCTTTGCCAAATTGAAAATTGGTGAGATTGCCGTCTTGGATACTTTTGGGGGTCCAAAATATGTTAGTGTTCAAGATTATCTACATCCACCGACTCCAAATGTTACAACGGAATTCCTTAGACAATTTCCAATTAGAGAGCAACAAAATGTTTTAAATAATTTTGACGAAACTGAATCAGAAATGGAATTCGATTCTTATGAAAGCGATTCAAAATCAGTAGAACACTTTGTACGTCACGTATAGGATTTTTTACTGAAGGGATATGGCCATGCAGCTGGGTCTAGCTGTACATACAGGACTGACCGTTTTATTTGATCGCGCAACGTTTTGTATTTTACTATGGCTTTCAAGCATCCAAGCATATAATACTGATTAATTCAAGTCTATTGCGATATATAATAAGATAAATATGTCTTATAACACTGTACTTAAATTGTTTATAAAAATGAAATATGTAAATTTTCGGAATCCTGCCTGAAATGCGTCTTTCATTCTAATTACAAATAATATAGATTACCCATTGCAATTTTATACTTTTATCTTCTTATGGATTTTACCAGCGGTCGTTGACCAATTAAAAATCCAGGGAATATACATTCCGCCATTTGATGTACCTCAGTAGATGTCGTTACTATCGAGCATTAAAGTATCGCCGACAGCATTCCAAAAGGCGTCAGTTCGTAGACCATAGAGTACCGCTGCGACGCACGTATAGAAGCATCGATAAAATGGCGGATGTGGAGCAAAGACCCAAGGAAAGCTCTACGGTTGGATCAAAAGAATCAATGGGCAAGCAGGAAAAACGCGAAAATACCCTGACAAATGGTGGCAAAGGCTCTGGAGATGATGCAGACAGTCTCGAAGAGTTGCCACTTGACATCGGCGAACACTATCTTGTCCGAAGATCGGATGACTCCTGGCGTGAGTAACCGTTCTCCGTCTGTCTTCGGGAAACTTCGTTACACTACGTACGACTTCGACACTGAAGCGGGAGGAGCGCGTATTTTTTTGAATAAGCCAAATTACTTATAGAAAGTGGCATAGATAGAAAATGAAATAGTAGATTTCTATGGAAATCATTCCGTGGTGTTTTCTTAGATCCTGCTGAGATCATTCAGACACGATATAATGAGGCGGAAAGTCATTACGAGTATTACGTGCACTACGAGGGCCACAATAGAAGGTTGGATGAGTGGGTCCCCAGGGATAGGATCATGTCCAGTAGATTCGATATGAGCGATCGAACTTGGAAGAATGGTGACAGAAATCCATCAAATGATTTACTAGCTGATTCCTCTGATAGGAAAATAACAAGAAATCAAAAAAGGAGACATGACGAGATTAATCACATACAAAAAGTAGGTTCTTTTTTTAGCAGTGTTATAATCAATAGGGCCACTTAGGTTATTTAATAAAATGCAATTTTTATACTACTTTGTTTTATATAGACATATGCAGAGATGGATCCAACAACTGCTGCTTTGGAAAAAGAACATGAAGCTATTACCAAAGTTAAATATATTGATAGGATTCAGATTGGTAAATATGTTTTGTATTTTTCTATATCAGTTTTATGGATTTTTCAATAACTAAATATTTGTTTATAGGAAGATATGAAATAGACACATGGTATTTCAGTCCATATCCTGAAGAGTATGGTAAACAACCCAAATTATGGATATGTGAATATTGTCTTAAATATATGCGCCTTGAAAAAACATACAGATATCATATGGTATATCATTCAATTTGTATAGCATCCTTGTTAGCAACTTCTTATGTTAGTAAAATGATTTATGGTCTTTTTTTTAGAGTGAGTGTACTCATAGGCAGCCAGTTGGGAAGGAAATATATCGCAAGGGAACACTCAGTATTTGGGAAGTTGATGGTCGAGAGCACAAAATTTACTGTCAGAATTTGTGTTTACTGGCCAAATTATTTTTGGATCATAAAACACTATACTTTGATGTTGAACCTTTCCTATTTTATATCCTCTGTGAAGTTGACAAGCATGGAGCACATTTAGTTGGCTATTTCTCAAAAGTAAGTACTTACAAAAAAAATTAGGTATGCTCTTTACTGCAATAATTATGTTAAATTATTATTGTGCTCCAGGAAAAAGAATCTCCTGATGGTAATAACGTCGCCTGTATTCTGACATTACCGCCATTCCAACGACAGGGCTATGGAAAATTATTAATTGCCTTCAGTTATGAGCTCAGCCGAATAGAACAAACAGTAGGGAGTCCAGAAAAACCATTAAGCGATTTGGGAAAATTATCATACAGAAGTTATTGGAGTTGGATTCTCTTAGAAATTTTACGTGATTTCCGAGGGACGCTTAGTATCAAGGATCTTAGGTAAAGTGTACAAGTTTAGAACGTGCTAGTCAAATTCTGTAAAAACATACTTACTTGATACTTCTTTGTTAACTTACAGCCAAATGACTAGTATCTCACAGACAGACATCATCTCCACATTGCAAAGTATGAATATGGTGAAATACTGGAAGGGCCAGCACGTGATCTGCGTGACGCCAAAACTCGTTGAAGAACACATAAAAAGTAGTCAGTTCAAAAGACCACGATTAACAGTAGACAGTAGTGCCCTAAGATGGGGAGCACCACCACGAAAAAACATCAAACCAGGAAAGAAGTAGGGCAGAAACACAAAATGGAAGGAAAATTGAATATTACTTCAGGGTAGCCCTTAGTGTTTGACAGGTGATTTGTCAAGCTTATTGTCATAGGCACCACATTACATAGACTGTACATTTCAGAATTAACCGTTGCAAAGAGACTCATTGTGAAATGAGACTTTTTTTCTTTTGTTGTCGTTATTCTGAACAAAACCATTAGAGTGTGTGAGAAAAATGCATTTTTTTTATACAGAATCAAGAGCAATTATGTGATATAATAATAATAATAATCCAGTTTTTCAAACGAAATTCAAATCTTCATAGCGAATTTAACCCTCCACGGAACCCTTTTTTTTACTGCTTTTGCGGAACTCCTGAGTCTTGTAAGCCCTGTCCTCTTTCTTTATGGGGCTTTAAAAATAATGAGGAAAAGATTGATGGATACACCTCAGGATCTCCACTGTACGCTCCAATACTTTTTTTTAATTAAATGCATCAAGATTTTTGGAATAATATTCAGAAGTCGAACATTAATGCCTAAAAACAACGAAATTCGTTAAAAAATGCATATTTTTGTAGCAAATAAATATGAAAGAGAAATGCTCTGGGGTTGTAAGATTCAGACGATAGGGCCGTTTATGAAAGCGTTTTTACGTATTCCGAAGCATTATAGGTGTGTCGAAAATGAGCCAAGAGCGCTGAGAGCATGTTATGTCTCAATCAAATTCATGCAATAAACAGAAGCAATGATGCACTCTCCGCTCTCTACTCATTTTCGAACACACGTACAGTGTTCCGGAGGTTAATTAATGGCTCTGCTCTGGTGTACGGAAAAACTGGTAAAAACGCTTGGACGAGCTTTCATTTGTTAAACAAGATCACATTACCTCGACTGGCCTCGATTAATAGAATCGTTCAATTACGTCTAAGTCAGCTGGTGCTTTTGTATTAAATAACCCGATATACTATACTAAAAGTACCATGATATTATTGCTTGTTGGAGTACATTTAGTAAACAGAAGAATTAACAATAATATGAAAATGAATATCTTAACTTTTAAAAATAATAGGTATTTTCAACACTTTAAAATAACAGAGGATATTGTAAGGGGATATGAAGAAATTATTTTCGTAAATATTACAAAGAACCGATAGTAATATTTGCTAGATAGATTATACATTATAATGCTCGTGAGAATTGAACAATTATTACATAACACGAGCCACTATGTACAAGAGTGGAAGAGAAAAGGGAAAGCAAATCGATGTACAACACTAGGTACAGTCATACAATAAGAATCTGCCGATGCCCAATGTTTCAAATAAATCGACAATTGGAGTTACACATTTCACATATCTAAATTTACGTATTTAACTGTCTGCATGAAAGAGTGCTAGGCTTTGTTAATTGGCTGTATTGTGTAATTAAGAGGAGGGGGTGGTATGAGAAGGGGTAAAGGTGTTGGGGGTGGAGTTGCTTGTGTCGCTGATATCGATTGTGTTGTATTTGTAGGCAGCGATTGTGATTCCAGTGCACGAAGAGTTGCATTATAGGCTGCCAAATAACTTGGCCAGAGATGCGGAGGTGGTGGAGATCCTGGAGGTGGTGGTGGTGGTGAGCGATCATCCATGTCATCAGAATCATCCAGCATCATTGCTGTTAATGGAGTTATTCTAGGCTTTTTCAATTTGATGATCTTTACCTAGAATTAAGGATAACATATGATATTTACATTATTAATCAATTGTTTTTAATTTTGTTAGAATTATCCTCCTCACCTTAACTTTTTTCTTTGTTTTAGGTGGTTTTACGCGTTTTTGCTTCTTTCTACTCTTTCTACTGATTCTAAGTCTCCTTAAAGGATCTGTATTGCTTGAATCTTTCGTAGATGCGGTTGGTGGTGGCGGTGATGGCATGTCACCCTCGCCACCACTAGGACTAGTACCTTCTCCGGGTCGTACGCCATCAGCGAATTGCACAGATTTTCTACTTCTTCTTCTCTTTCTTAATCTGGGTCGTGGTCTACTCGAAGATGTTTTAAATTGGACTATTCGTTTATCATCTTTAAAGTGGTCCTCTTCAGAGAACTTGTCTTTTAACTCCTGAAGTTTCTCTATAACAACGTTGTCATTGTCATTATCTCGCTCATTCTCCATGTCAGATATATCGTCATCATCTCCGTTAGATATAATCTCTTTACTGAAAAGAAATAATCACGCTTGTAAAATGATATCATTTTTATTAAAAGACATTAATTACTATTACATACCCAAATCCAGGAGAAATTAGAATTCCTTTAAGAGGTGTTGGAGGTAACAATAGCCAATCTTTAATTTCTGTTTCATGGTCTTCATTGATCTCGTCAGTTTGCTTTTTAATATCTGCTTTAGGAGCGTCAGAAGTTTCTTCCTCTGGAGTATTGTCAGAAAATAGAGAAATCAATTCGTTTCTTGCTTTTTCAGTATCATCAGCTTCTCGTTTTTCTTCGTCCGCTTCAGTTTCGTCCTCAGCTTCCTCTTCTTCTTCCTCTTCATCCTCTTCTTCTTCCTCTTCTTCCTCCTCATCATCTTCCTCCAGTTCTTCCTCCTCATCTTCCTGTTCTGGTCCCTGCGTTTGAATTTGTTCCTCAGAATTGGCTTCCGTTTCAACATCTTCCGCTTCTTCTGCAGTAGCTTTGACGCCGTCTACTTCCGGCATTTCTGCTTCAGGTTCATTATCACCTCCCTCTTCTCCAACTTTTTCTACTATATTGTGACCATCCTCGATAGACTGCTCAGTATCAATAGATGTTGCACTTTGTGGCTGGCTCAACTCAGTCGTTACATTAGGTTGAATATTGCCAAAACTCTTCTTCAACATACGCTCAGCTCTCCTTCTCACTTTCTCAATTCTTTTCCTTTCTTTTTCTTTTCTCCTTTCATCTCGTAGACGCTTTCGCTCTTCTCTTTCCTTTCTGCGGACTTCCATTATCACATCGTAATTGTAAACAGGATGAGCTGGTACCTCTGTGATTTGCACTAAAACCGTCCAATATTATATATTTCAAATATACAAGTAGACTATAATAATGTTGTAAAAATGAATTGCAATTTACCTCGTGGTAGCGGATCAGTTCTAGAATATGGTGAGACAGGAACAGGTACAGGAACCGGGACAGGAACTGGAATAGGTACAGGCAACGACAGCCCCACAGGAGCTATTGGAGATACGGTAGAGATTGTAGCAGTGCTAGGCACTGCATTGGAAATCGTAACTGGTACAGGAACGGGAATTGGAACTGGGGTTGTCGTCGTCGAGGGAATTGCCATTCCTGTAGGATAATGAAGAATTTGAGGATCTGTCGAAGATGAACCACTCCAATCAAGATTCGTCGTAGGCACTACTTGCAGAACATTACCTACACGAACAACATGGCTAGAGCTACGATTAGTGGGAATACTAGAAGACGGTTCACTTTGTTGAGTGGTAGTCGGTGTACTCGTAAATTCTGCAGGTACCACTTGTAAGACATTACCAACCTAAAACAGGGTAAATATTTAAAAATAATACAATAGTCCAAACTATTTAAGGATATTTAAAAGAGACATGTTTACCTGAAGTACTGTTGGCTGTTGTCTATGATATATTGGTTGCTGATGTTGCATAGAAGGTAAGGGCGTTCCATGCCCTTGACTGGGTGACAAATACGGACCGATGTCACCAGGAAATAATGAGGCGTGATATCCAGCACCTGATTCCGGTTCCTGATTGTGTTTCTTGATTCCCAGCTCTAGTTCAAGTCTGGAATAAAATCAGTGTAGTCAAAAGATTTTCTCCATGCAAACACACATACAAGCACAAATGATTAAAATCCCATAACATAATATATTTACTTCGTGATCGTAATTTATGGTATTTACGCAAGAAAAAAACTTGAATAAAAATCGAGAATGAGAAATCGAGGATTTGTTATTTCATACGTTTTGTAGAGATTACCTATCGTCTAGTGATAGACGTTTCGGCGAATTTGTCATTTCATCTATACGAGGTGGATAAGTAAGATTACTTTCGGAATAATAGTAATATTCATTTCCTCCGTCGCCTTCAGTGACATATCGGAAATTCGAAGAATTGACACAGGCATCATTGCCCAGCATATCAGTATCCAAGCCGGCTGAGTCCCCAGGTATTCTTCGTGGTCCAGGTAACGCCTGAACGATAGTTTCAATGCGTCTTCCTCTTTCGACAGGATTCTCACTTTCAGCGTCCTTTATTCTTTCACTGTTACTACTCCTGTCCCTTGGCGATACCGATCTAAATGATATTCCAAATCATTACCGATGATCAAAACACATGTATTCTACTCGAATTTAGCAAATGAATTTAAATATGTCATTAATTGAATAAATATTAGTACAAGCTGACCTAGAGCGACGAAGTCTGTCCACGGATCTTTTAGAACGATCAGGACTCCTTAGACGTGACCTTGATCTTGACCTAGATCTAGTTCGTGATCTGGATCTGGACCTAGACCTCGATCGCGACCATGATCTCGAACGAGACCTTGATTCAAATCTGTAACGATCTGGAGATGCTCTTGTTGGTGATCGTCTTGGTCTTGGCGATGATTTTGATCGTGATCTAAATGGTGGTTTACTTCTTCTGGAGGATTGTCCTTGTCTCTCTGATTCTGGTGTGCATCTATCCTTTTCCCATTCTCTTTCTCGTTCTCTTTCTCTTTCTCTTCTGTCATCAATTCTATCTCGACTTCTGCAATAATGTAAAAACAAAAATATAAGATGAATGATGAACTTATGGGATATAAAACATCCTCTAATTTACCTTCGTCTATATCTTGCAAAAGTGTCTGGTCTAATGGGTCCTTCCATTATATCCCTTTCTAAGCTTTCATCTCTCAATGATCTTCTGTCATCATATTCGACGTCTAATCTTTGACCATCAATAAATTGCTCATCAATATCAGGAAGAATATTATCATCCTCATATCTCCACCGTCCTTTGTCCCCATCGTCATCTTCGCGATACCTAGCTCCAGTATATCTATCAGACTCTAAGCTTCTATCCCTTGGTAAAATAGGAGGCTCATAAGATCTTCTATCCTTATCACGATCTCTTTCAATACTATCATTGAACCTTCTTCTTGCCCGATCACGATCATTTCTGCTGCTAGGCGGTCGTTTCCTGGGACCATCTAGAATTTTAAAAATTTATAAAGAAATTCTATAAAACGACGAAAAAATAAAGTACAAAGATTATACCTCTGCTAAATGACGGAGGACAATGTCTTCCAGGACTTCGCGTAGACCTCTCTTTTCTGTCGTCAAAATATTTTGACTTCCCAGGACGCTCCTCATCAGCTCTATACGATTTACGTTCTCTATCACGAATAGGACCTGGAGGATCATCTCTCCATCTTCCTGGACTCTTACTACGACTTCTACTCCAGCTACGACTGTTACTTTTACTCCTGCTTTTTTCGCTCTCCCATTTACCAGACGGACTCCTGCTCTTTCTCCCTGTTCTCTTTCCATGTCCATCAGTGGGACTAAATCGTCTACGAGTTTCCGTATGAAATGATGATTTCGAACTTCTATATCCTGATGCTGATCTTTCCAAGTCTCTAGAACCCGATCTTTCCACATCTCTAGATCCTGATCCTTCCGCATCTCTAGATCTTGATCTTTCCAAGTCTCTAGACCCTGATCTCTCCAAGTCTCTCGATCTTGATCTTTCCAAATTTCTAGATCCCGCATTTTCGTCAAGGACATGACTTTTACTGTCATTCTTTAATTTTTCTACAGAACTTCTCTTTCGTCGTTCAACTGACGATGATCTAGAGCAAGTCCTTTCTGGCTCTAGTTCTATCTTGTCTTCAAATTTATCAAGAACCTCTTCAGGTACCTCCTTAATTGCCTCAATTTCCGGTTCCCTTTGTACTATCTTCTCCTGGTTCATAATAGAGTCCAATTTAGTGGATGTAACTCGTAACCCACACACTTTCGTAGGACTAATTTTCACGTCAAGTTTTTCAGAACCAGATTCTGGAGTTGATACAGATTTTTCAACGCTTCCAGTATCCTTGAGTATTTCTTCTTCAATGCCATCTTCGAGAACACTTGTCTTAAGGATCTTCTTTTGAATTTTGAAAGACACGGTGGTAGCGTGTGGTGATTCCGGTAATTCTAACAGTGGTTTTGATTTAATATCAACAGAACGGCGTATCAGTAATTGTTTTGGGATCAATTTTAAAGGTGATTTCTCATCGCTGCTTTCTTCTTTCTTTGGCGTTACCGGTGCTTCGTCCTGATTTTCTTGATGTACTGTCTCAGACGGTTCTTCATCAGACTCTGGTTCTGATGCATATTCAGCAAATATATCCATACGACGTGACTTTTCAGGTGAAGAACTGGTACCAAAACTATCATTAGATGTCTTATCACATTCTTGAAGAGCAGAAATACCTGGAAGACTCTTCCAACTTCCAACATCTATACCCCATTCTTCGGCAGGAAAATCCGACATATTTTCAACAGTCGTCGGAAATTCGTCTAATGATATTGGAATGTTATGAGTTGATGATTCTTTAGTTTTTGGCTTTATATCTTCTTCTGGCGAATGATTTGCAGCACTATCATCTGATGTATCTACGTCCTCTGATTTCTGTGAAGGTGCTGGAGAGCTAGGACTATATAGAATATGAGTATCTTCATGGATTTTGGATTTAACTTCAAAATCATTTGCAATAGTTTTAGAAATTTCTTCATCCTGTGAATCAACCTTCCAAGAATCTGTCACAGAGGCTCGTACTTTACCATCCTTAAACTTCAATTCTATGGTCGACGTTTCTGTAGTAGAACTATCCCCAGGTGTACCTTGCCAAGACCTCTCAGAAGATTCGACACTTTGTAAAAATTTGTGGAAGTTTTTAGAATCATTAAGAACTTTAGATTCTTTCATAGAATCATCATTTTTAAAACGTCGTTCAATCATATCAAATTCATCCTCTTCCTCCCACATTACAGGTCGAATAGATTTTTCTTCTCGTTCCACAAGATGTTCCTCAACGTCCCACCGGCTTCTCTTATCCTTTTTACCTTCAATGGAACTCTTCTTCGTAGATGATCTATCACTATTACCTTCACGTATATTTAACCAGACTCCTTCGAGAGCATCTATATGATCGATGCTACTCTTGGAGTTAGTTCGATCAGAACAATCATGAATGGACCGTGTCTCTGCGTCCCAATCATTACTTCTCTGTTTTGATTTTTCTTCCATAAGCATCATTTCTTCCTTTTCGCCCTCTTCTTGTTCTTCTTCCCATATTCTTATGGCACAGAGTCGATTCCGTCTTCGTCTAGTATCACGAGCTGTCTCTCTCCCTACAGCTATATAAGTGTCTGTCTTTTCATCGTATTTCACGTCCTTTTCTACTTTCTTACTGGAGCTACTTGTGCTGCATTTTCTATTCTGAATGGAAGCCTCGCGTATGGCATCCAAACTATCTACTTCCCACTCGTCGTCTAATATCTCTCGATTCTCTTCAGCCTTTTCCAATTGTGTCAAGGAAGGTACATTCAGAGTATCAAAATCTGTATCAGCCCAGTTCATCTTTCTTCTTTTCTCTTGTTTCTTTAATGCTCTCTCTTGCTTCTGTGTAGAGAGTCGAGATTTTACTGAACTATCTTTCTCCCAATCGGTTTCCAGATCAGTACCACTTCTCCTATCTCTATCAGTTCTCTTCTTCTTCCTTGTTTCAGATTCTGTTTCTGATTTACCTTTCTTTTTTTCTTTACCTTCATCTGTACTATCTTCTTTACTTTCGTCATTTATGATTTCTATTACATTCTCTTGTCCAGGTTGCTTGTCTATAGTCTCTGCTACCTTCTCTACATCTCTTTCTTCGTCGTCCTCTTTGCTTAATCGATTTCTATCCCATTCTTCAACGAAACTTTCTTCGCTGTCTTTACGCTTCCTACTAATTCTTTCATGAGAATGTTTTTGATCATCTTCCATGTTTTTCTTTGATATAAGCAATTTAGATTTCTCGTTCGAGTCCTTGTCCCAAGGCACAGCACATGTTATAAGAACTGTATCTTGTACTAAAGTGTGTAGACTTCCTTCTTCCTTTATTTGGCCGAATTCTAAGTCAGCAGCATCCACAAGCACTTTTCTTCTTTCCTCTGTTGATATTTCTCCAAGCTTAGATCTCTTTCGATTCTCTACTACGTTATCTTCAATTCGTACTTTCTCATCTGTTTCTTTTTTCCGTTTCTTTTTCTCCTTTTTGTACTTTTCTCTATCGCTCTTTTCAGAATACGTACTGCTAGACTCAGACGACCTTGCACGTTTACCGCGCTTCTTCTTTGTCTTTTTAGTCTTCTTGCTACGTCTCTTCTTTCCACTGCTTTTCTTACGTTTCTTCTTTCTCACCTCATCCGAGCTCGAACTGTCACTTGAGCTACTGTCGTTACTATCAGAATCTGAGCTTGAATCCTTCCTAGAGACTTTTTGTTTTCTTTTTTTACGTTTTCTGGACTTCTCTTTAATTGATGTCTCTTCGTAGTCCGATGAACTTGACGTAGATGAACTTTCGCTACTTGAAACTTTTTGGATCTTACGCTTGCGCTTCTTTCTCAAACTTCTGGCCTCAGAATTTTCATCACTCATTTTTTCCACCTTGATCCTAACATTTTCCCAATCACTTGGAACCGACCGTGGGGAAATCGATCGTTCTTTTTCGCTTGTGCTTTGTTCATTCTCCTTCTTCTTATGTAGCCGTGGTTCCCGTGATATATCAATATTAAATTCATCATAACATGACAGAGATGTCGTATGTTCAACATTCTCCTTGGAGAATTTATTACCAGTTGATGTACTTGATTCTGGCGTATCGCTACTCACCATTTTCATGAATTGTTCATACTCGGACGCCAGCTTTTCGTCGCCCATTGGTTTTATCGATAATCGCTCGGTAATTACCTTGTCATTTTCTTTTCGACTTCTAGTTAAGGATGTAGCACGTGTAATGCGTTCTGGCGGAAAAATACTGCATACTGAAATCAAAGTGACAAGAATCAAGAAATTTGTACAGTAGAAACAGTAGAATAGAATACTGGTTTTCGAGAACATACATAATCCAGAATCAGCGGTCGATTCATTTGAGTGTATGGAAGCATGCATGTCTTCATCCATGCATACTGGATCTTCACTTTCCTCCTGGTTGTTCTCAAGGTTCTTTTCTAACTCACTGGATGAAGGTATTGCAGCCTCTTCTTCACTGTCCCATTTGGACTTTGATATTTCGGCATCATGGAGCAATTGTGACTTTACTTTGCCAAAAGGATCTGTATTGTCCCAATTACGATACCAAATTCGATGTCTTTCAACGATTTCTGTCTCCAATGCCAGCATCCTGAAAACATATAATAATTCCATGGACCAATATCAATATTCTTCTACTTTCTTGGATATTTTATGAATAAAAATATGAATCTACTAACCGAGTACTGGTCGCATCGCATATTTCTCTTATTTTTTCACGACGTTCGGAAGGAACCGATTGAAAAATTTGTTGTCGACTCAATAACAGTGATACTCTAGGATTCTCACAGTAGAAAAGAGGTAGGCTTCTCCCCCTTTTTGTGATCCTCACTGATTCAGGATGAAATTCCTTAGGTCCTTCGATACCATCAGCAACCAGAGGATGCCTTTTAGCACGATAATCTCCAATCATTAACATTTGTGCTAAATGTTGGGCATAATCGTGTGGCGTTCTGAAATAAAACATCATATATCATTGTGATACACATGATTATGAATTAAAACACAAACCTATTCTTCATGGGTCGTCCCATAAAATCATGTCTTCTGAGTGTGATTATTTCATCTAGAGTGAAAGCGCTTGTTTTTACATCAGTCCAGGAAAGACATTTTGCTAGTTCTCTTCCTCTTTCTTTGTCAGTATCCTTATCCTTCATCTTTTTATCCTTGATAGATTCATGCTTCTGCTTATCATTTCTATGATCTTTATTTCTCTTGCGATGTTCCCCATCCTGAGATGATCTGTGATCTGTCCATTCCTTACTTTCACTTCTGTCTCTAAATTCCTTGCTTAACCGATCACCTGTTGGATCTTTACTACTCCGATGTCGTCTTAAAGTAAGTATAAAATGAAGTATTTGTCTTTAACATCGAAGATCTAAATAAACATTTTAAAAATCTAAAGGTGCATATGATTTACCTGTTTGAAGACTTTTTACTTGATGACCTTGAAGGACCCTCTTCATTACACCATTCCTTTCCACTCATATCTCTGATATCTTCAGATTCGTTGGTTTCCTTATTTCTATTGGCATTTCCATCGGTACCTCAATTTAAGAATCAAGTTTTAATGATAGTCTCATACAGGAATTGAGCATATTATTAGTTAGATGATATAACTATTCAGCGAATACCTGATGTTACTGTAGGAAATGACAGATTTTTATTCCTAGATTCTTCTCTGACAATTTCTTCAATGGCAAGAATTTTTTCTTCTATTGAAGTGAAGGAGAAAATACATCAAATCAGATGATTGTTGAAACATAACCTACATTTGTAATTAAAGATATACCTGTCTTTCTTTTTGATTTGGAACTACTTCTGTTATAATTTGGTTGATGTTGTTGGGCTTCTAGTGCAGATTCTATTTTCAGCTTGGCATCGTGTACCTCATCAATGAGAGATTTCACGGTGTCCTTTGGTTTCGTCTTGACTTTCACAGGGTTACTGGCGCTCGATTTGATGGTAACTTCGGACTTGTTTTTCTGTATCTGGACTTTAGGAATCACGCCAAATTTATTGGCAAATGCCATCAAACGCTTTTTCGCTTGTGCTTTACCCAATACCGGCTTCAGGATTTTCGGACTTTCGACTCTATGCTCATCCTCCTCCCCAACGGCTTTATTGCCCTCATGTACATCCGGAATTGTTGTTTTGCTTAACGTCGTGGAACTGTCTGAAAATGTTTCTTCAGTACAAGACATGTCGTCTAAGTGAGAGACCACATCAGGTCTTGCTTCTTCTTGGTCCACTAGAAAATAACGGTTAATATTTAAATAAATTGTGTATCCAGAAATAGACAACAATAGAATGCTAATGCATACTTTGGGCTGTTATACGTGGTACAGTAGATACTGGTACTGAATCCTTCAGCAAAGGTACGTGTGGTCTTCGAGTTATTCTTGGAACATAGGGATTCATGCCATACTCTAGAGTAGCTTCTCCAGTCATTGGAATTGGATAACCATAATTGCCAACATGTTGATAACTTGCTGGATGTTGCATACTAGGGCTATGGTAATGCATAACCATAGCCGAAGGACCAATAGCAGTATGAGTTTGTGGATGTGATATCAAAGCAGCAGTTCTAGGATCCCCAGGTAAATTTGGTGGTGGTAATGGTGGTGGTGGTGGTGGTGGTGGTTGAGTCAGGTCAATTGTTTGCTGAATAATTCCATATCTGAAAATTGCTTTTATAACAAAGATCCTTCATACATCAGGCAATTTAAAATAATATGCTTGATAACATACGGATTATAATAATTATGTATTGGAAGAGAAGCTTGAATTCCTGAATCAAACCTAGTACCAATTGTGCATGATTTTATGACTGTAGTATCATAATTTGATTCAGCTTTTGCTTCATAATGTACTGATGGAGATTGATTTGATATTGCGGAAGACTCTTGTTGATATTGTTCATTTAATAAATCGTCTTCCCCATTTTCATGCGTAATCAAACTCTCCTTATTTTCTGATTCCCAAGAACTTTCATCTGTATTTTCTAGAATATTCTTTTCTGAATTATTTGGCGAAGAAGCGCCTGAGTTCTTAAGAGTTTCATCAGAGGAATTGAAGGCATCTTTGTTAATGCTTTCATCTTCTGCTTGTACAATATCTTCCGCATTAGAACTTAAAGAGCTACTCTCTTCCATTATCTGTGAATAAGCATTGTGAATTATATGTAGACATGATTATATGTGATGACATTCATTGGTGTACTCAATGAAAAGCAAAAAACTAAAATGTGGAATATTAATGAATAACTATTATTAGAACATGACAATACACTAATCTTGTTTTAACAGTAAAACAAACATTATGTAGAATAAAATCGAGTGAATTAATAATAAACGCTAAAAAAACTTATGGACTAGTAAATATAACAAACTTACACACAACCTTACCTTTCAGTAAATATTGTAAACTCCAAAATTATATGCAAAACATTTTATTAATTAATACCGACAATTGTCGAAGTCTGCAGTTTCCACGTATGTTTCTTAATATTTTTATTGTTTGATGTAGGGTATTTACGGTTAAACGGCGGTAGTTGAGAAAAGGCGTCGGACATATTACTCAAACTCCAAACAGACAACTGTTTGACAGAAAATATATTTTGGAGCAGCGAAATGAAAAGCAGGCCTGCCAACACAGACTGATGGAGATTAGAATATACATCTACTTTAAATACTTTCTTAGTTATAATTTAAAAAATATGTTAAAAATGCTCAGGATTTTATTACTGTTGTAAATTATACATATACGAAGAATGAATTGCTGAGAAAATCATATAGATCCTCAGGGAGCAACAAAGTCTTTTATCAAAACTTTTGAATGATTTTTGAGTAGATATAATTACATTTTTTAAAATTGGTCACAAGAATTATGAATGATATTGTAGGAGCTATTTTGTAAATCATACAAGAATTAATTTTCATAAATGTGACGTAATGACTGGCTACAATTAGCAATACTCCTATCAAGGACATTGGTATTATACAGATATACTCCAAAAGATTTTTACAATAATTTTAAATATAATTTCATCAGCTATATATTAATCAGATTCTTCTATCTCTGATGGATCACCTCCCATTGCTTTCCAAAAAGCAGTAACCAACTGTTCCGCCGCGATTCTTCTTTCATTTGCTGGTAAAGATGCTGCATGTTCCTTCATGGCCATTAACTGACCAAAGAGTTCACCAAAATCTGTATTTTCTGCACCCATAATACCATCTGAAATAAAACCATGAGTATTTTGCAAAGATTTTTATTTGCTCCGAATTGCGGAAAAAGTAGAATTTTACCTAATATACTATCCATATGTAAAGTATCTGCATTAGCTAAGCGAATATTTCCCAACTGTTCACCCACGTTATTAACGTCTGAAGATGCCTTTTCTGTAATAGGATTTTGATCTGTGAATACAATTTTCATGACAATATGGCAGTGATACTTCTTTGTATAGGAATAATAAAAATAAGGACCTTTCAATGCCATATTAGGCCATGCATGTGCATGTAAAGCTTCAATGATTCTATCGATTCCATGTTTTTCATTCTCATCTTCTTGATCTGCTACTTCTTTAGCATCCACAGATCCAAATTCAACTAATTCAAACTTGTGAAGAGTACACCATTCTACGACTGTGATATATTTTGTTATCAGTAAAGCATAAAATTGGTTTCATATATCCTATTACCTTGATCTTTGATAGCTCCATCAGGAAGTGCATTGCAAACAAATAGGAGTATCTCAGCCTCGGATATAGAATTTATTAATGGCATCCAGTCATCCAGTAACTGTGCAGCTTGCTCCTAAGTAATTTAATAATATTTACAAAAGACTATTTACAAAATATTACAGATATTCAATCTATCTCACTGCTTGTGGATCATGATAAATGATCAGTGCTTCAATTCCCTCGTACAGTGATATATTTGTCCATGGATTCTCGGTTGTGCACAATAAAATTTGCGCTGTATAGTATTTATTATCAATATTCCAAATATAATTGTCAGTATCACTTTGTCCTACCAACTGCTCAGATCCTAAACCTGTAAGAGAAGACTAGAATCGTCAACAGCATTCAAAAATCTTTCACTGTATCAACACATGTTATATATGAAAGTCCTATTTACTTTTCACAATGTCAGCAGCCTTATCCTTTACAGTACTAGCAATAAGTACACGAGGTAATATAGTTTCGATATCCATTATCAAGAATTGTTCTGTCAAACCGGTAAACGGAGCACTATGAGATGATATTCGTGATTTTATATGTCTTAAAATTACAAAACAATGCAAAATTGATAAAAAATCACACAAGACGAATCGTATTTTATGTCAATCAGCATGACGCAATAAGTGGCAATTAACAATTAATAATTGAAACGTAAGAATCACAGAGCTTGACGTGATTAACGACAATATATACAGATGTGCGCCATTTTCGTATAAGGCTATAATGCATAAGAATCCAGACGCATGCCATCTGTTGGACAATGGATAACTGATAGTTTCTTTCCTACCTTCCTTTCTTTACAGCAGTATCCCCAATAAGGGACATTCACCAATAACTAGTCTGACAGTTTCCGTAGACATATGATAGACATTAAAACATGAAATTTAATGATAAGGATATAAATAAACATTTCTGTATTTGTTAAATTTATTGCGACTTTCCGCATACATATATCGGATTACAGAATTGAATAAAAATTTTATTTATAAAACTCATGCTCTGATTCGTCTTTCTTTATATTATTCTTGTAGCCCTTTTCGAAGTCTTTAGCCAGAACGATGTAACGATTTTCACGTACAGCATGCATACCTGCTTCTTGACAAATAGCATTAATATCAGCGCCAGAAATTCTGTCTGGCCGTGCTACGTAATCTTCTAGATCAACTTCCTCGCTCAAGTTCATCTTGGCTGTGATGGTCGAAAAAACAAGACGTTTCTGACGACGATCCGGAAGCGGAAATTCGATCTTACGATCTAATCTGCCAGGTCGTAAAAGAGCAGGATCTAAAGTGTCGGCCCTGTAATCATGATTCAAGGAAAATTATATTATTCATTGATTTTAGATTTGTAGTGTTAATATTTCAATAAGTTACCGGTTAGTAGCCATAATGACTTTAACATTAGTAGTCTGATCAAAGCCGTCCATCTGATTTAGTAACTCCAGCAAGATACGCTGGACCTCACGATCGGCTCCAGTTTGAGCATCAAATCGTTTAGTAGCTATAGCGTCGATTTCATCAACGAAAATAATGGCTGGTGAGTTTTCTTTAGCAAGACGGAATACATCCCGCACCATTCGTGGACCTTCTCCGAGATACTTCTGGACGAATTCAGAACCCACCACACGAATGAAGGCAGCTGAAATAAGTTTGGTATTAAATATACAAATGTTCGAGTGGCTCTTAATGTATAATATGTTTCAAGTACCAGTGGTATGTCTAGCAACTGCTTTTGCTAACATTGTTTTCCCACATCCTGGTGGCCCATACATAAGAACACCTCTAGGTGGATCGATACCAATTTGCTTGTAGAGCTCAAAATGAGTCAGTGGCAATTCTACTGCCTCTCGAATCTCTTGCTTCTGCATATCCATACCTCCAATATCACTGTACTGGATATCTGGCTTCTCATCTGTTTAACAATTAAATAATTAGTATTAAATAAATTTATGTAATGGGTTTGAAAAAAATTAGTGGTAAAAGAATTGTTGGCAACTCGCTACTTGCCTGCTTGAAGCATAGAAATGCTAGAGTCTGCTTCAGGAGGTAGAACATCAACAAGAGCATTACTATGTTTATGAAGAGCTACACTGGCTGATGGCTTCAATAATTCACGATCTATAGTCGATAAGATGCGCACATAATAGTTTGAGCCAGTTGTAGAGCCAACTATGCCAGTATTTTGATCAACAGCCTCAAGAAATTGACCAATGACCAATGGGACACTTTGGATACGCTTAACTTCTTCTTGAGCATGGAGATATTCTTTCTTTAAATTACGTTGTTCATCTTTAATATATTCTTCTTGTACTTCCAAAAATTCCAGCATCCTTTGAAGTTTCTGTTAAAAATGATGTTTGTAATTATTTAGCAAATGTCATGCTTGGTACACCATCGTAACATAATGGAAGATAACCACATTTTATGGTATAATTCCTACCTTATACTTTGTGTAAAGATCCTCCACGTCTAGCTCATCTCCAGCACCAGAATAATGACCTATTACTGGTTTAGAGTCGACCTCGCCAACATCCTAAAACAATACCGGTATCACATAATAAAAGTCAATGCAGTTGAAAGAAGTAAACGGGAATATAAATGAAGCAAAATATATAATATTAAGACTACTGAAAAGTCTATAGTTCTTAACATTAGTACCTTATCAGGTAAAATGATACCAATTTCTTCCATTTTCACGAACGAATTAACAGACACTGGACCTTTGTCTACTTTATGAATAACGAATGACTCGAACTTTTCAACTAACAGTAGCCATTAATGCTCAAGGCTGCTCAAGGCGCAGATGTATGACGTAGAAAACATGGTGGAAGTGGTTCCCTCTGTAATGAACTTTCATTACTAACTGCAAACCCGACAGGAAAGGTTGTCAATAGATTAACCAAGATTAGCACTGAAAAACGTTTACCAAAACGTTCAGCGGCGAAAAAACATATACTTGGTTAGCGTATTAAATAATAGTACTGAGGTATTACAATACAATTTTATTTGGTTTTATGCAAAATGTTTTTGGAGTAAACGTGTTTAGGACATTTTTCTTGTTAATAGAATTTGTAGTAGTATTCTGGTGATTCCCATACCAATAATTATATGTATGTTTTCAAGGAATATTTATTATTATTGTTTACTGAAGTGAGTAAGAATTTTAATGATAGATTATTACAGTAAGTTAGTAAAATCATGGTGACTGAAGAGCAACAATCTGATATGGAGCTGGCATCGGAACTTGTACCAGTACCACAAGTTCAGAACTTGTTGGCTCCAGAAACTGTAAAACAACTTGCAAATGTTACACAAAGGAAACCCCGGCATCGGAAAAAAGCACTGTACGCTGCTATTCTTAAACAAATGGAGTTCTACTTTGGTGATGCTAATTTAAGCAAAGATAGATTTCTTGGAACGCTTATAAAGGAAAACCCACGTAAGACTTTCTTGGCCACATTATATAATTTTGATATATAAAATCCTATAAACTAATACATTTTTTCACAGAGGTTGATTTAGCAATTTTCCTTCGATTTAATAAAATTCGTTCATTGACTGATGATATTACAAAAATAGCCAAAGCACTTCAATCATCAACTATGCTTTCTGTATCGGAAGATGGTACAAAAGTATCACGCATAACACCAATTTGTCAAAAGGAGAATGCTGATGAATGCACAGTTTATGTACAGGGGCTTCCACCAGATGCTGCTCATGACTGGTTGAGCAATGTCTTTTCTCAATATGGTCCAATTGCATATGTGTCTATTCCACGATATAAGAGTAATAAAAAGATAAAAGGATTCGCTTTTGTGGAGTTTGAAACAGTTGAAAGTGCTGATGCATGTCTTAAGGTGAATAATCATCACATAATTAATTTAAGAAAATTGAGCTATATGTATATTTGATACGAATTTTAGGCATTTCGGGAAAATGGTTGTGAATTGCCATCTCAAACTTCGCCTGATGATCTTCTAAGTATAACTACATTTAATGAGCCTGAAGTGGCAGGAGAAACAGGTAAAGAGAACATAAAAATTGACGTAATCAATGATATTGAAGATGCAAAAAAAGGAGTTCAATTAGTTGAAACAAAACCAAAAGAAAACGATATCTTGAAGAAAGGAAAAAGAAAATACGAGGAATTTGAAAATATAAGAGAGGATAACATAGTAGAAACTTCTGAAAAAGACAAGGACATGGAATCAAAAAAGGAAAAGAAAAGAAAACGCAAGAATTCACCAGAAGTCGGCAATGCTGAGGACCTTACTAAATCTGAACCTGATGATGAACAGATAATGACGGAGGAAAAGCACAGAAAAAGGAAAATAACGATATCTGAAGACGTTAAAGAAGGCAAACATGATTTATCAGCACAAAACATCGAAAAATTTGAAGATGTGACTGATTCTCAAAAGAATAAGAAGTCAAAGAAGCGTAAATTGAAGTCTACGTTAGATGATGCCTCAGAAATATTTAGATCATGTACAGAAAATGGACGAACTTCGGAGTGTGATGAGTCCGCGGAAAATGCTGAACAAGAAGAAGCTTCGAAAACACAGAAAAAGAGAAAGCGCAAGAGGAAACGTCATAGCAAAAACGAGAATCCTGAAACTACTGAAATTGGAATGCAGGTGATGGCTAAAAAAGATTGGAAACGTTTAAGAAACAGGTACCTTGAGTTACAAAGGAGTAAAATGAAATCACTGAAGCAGCATCTGAGACGAGCAAGATGGAATCAATGGAATAGTTATGAAAAAAATAAACCCGATAAAGAAGAAGTAGAAGAAAAAGGTCATTTAAAAGTAGAGAATACTAATCAGCGATTTTCATACACACCAGGAGTTATAGTCAGTATTGAAATGGAGGAGCCTTGCGTTGATGTACAGAATTTCAAGGTTTGCTAATAGAAATAACATTATTTCACATAACTAATGGCAGCCGTTTATATTACTTCCTTTTTACAGATGGAACTCAAAGGTAACACTAATGTAAGATACATCGATGTAACCGAAGGTTCTACTCAAGCTTTTGTAAGATGTGATACAGCGGACGCCGCGAAGGCTCTAGCACAGAAAACAACTAAAGGAAGATCTTTGAAAATTTTGCAAGGTTAGTCTCATTAATTTAAGTTTCTTGTGATATGTTTAATCTCATGATATGTATATGTATAATTGTATTATGCAGACGAGGATGAGAAACTTTATTGGGAAAAGATGGTGAGAGATAGAGAGGAAAAATTGAGTAAGAAAATACGTGTGAAACAAAGAGGACGGGACAAATTATTAAAAAAGGCAGAAAAGGAGCTGGGAAAACATATAAAGTTCGATGAGGTGTAAAATTGAGTAAAATTATACTGAAAACGATGTTTATATTTTCAATTGGACCACATGTATGACGTTTTGTTGAAATACATAAAACACGTTTCTAAATTCACGAAAATTATTTTATTTAACATTCTAAATACGTCGGACATTAACATATTGGTATGTGGAAGTGCATTTTTCCAAAAATAGAAAATAGAACTCTATTTTACATTGTATTTTAATAGTTCCTTTTCATTCGTTCTCGTCATTGGCGTAAATATGTCGTTATTCGTAATTATCGCTACCACCTCCCCCGTCCTCGACCTCCACGGCCACCGCCTCCACTATCACCAGCACCGCCGCGTCCTCTGAAACCACCTCCACCTCTACCACCTCCGAAACTTCCACCACCCCTACCACCGCCGAAACCTCCACCACCTCCAAATCCTCCTCGACCTCCTCTGGGTCCGCCACGACCACCACGTCCGCCAACACCTCTTCTGGCACCACGACCACCACCACGTTTCGTTATTTCTCCAGGAGCCTTTGGTAAAAACCTTTGAAGAGGTAATAACTTTGCAGGATCTATAAATAACTGTAAGATAAAAATAAATATTATTGATTCTGATGAACAGCTCTAAGCTCTTACAGTTTATCAATATGATTTGAATACCTTAAGGTCCTTTTCAAAACTAGATGCTTTGACATTGTCTGATAATTTAATGGATACGTAATAATCTCGGATATTTCCAAAAATTTCATCTATTTTTCCTATCTGTTGTTTGTTTTCTGTGTAAATTGGTGCATTAAAGTATGGTACTTGTTCAATATCAACTTTAGCAACTAAATCATTTTGTACTGTCCATTGAAAATGACATAAAGGAGTCACTGTTTCGGGAGGACCTTGATCAAACCTACAATAATAAACACAATTAATGAGATTAGTATATTACATGTTAAAGGAAATGACAATTAGATACATTACCGGCCTCCTCTGTCACCACCTCCTCCACGACCTCCACGAAATCCGCCACCACCTCTACCTCCACGGAATCCTCCACCTCCTCTACCAAAACCTCCTCCACCTCCACCTCCTCTACCAAAACCTCCTCCCCCACGTCCACGAAATGACATTCTTCGCTTGTAAATTAAGAATCCTAAAACAAACATTAATATGGCAATCATTTTATTAAAATCAAAATTGGTTCTTAATTTGAAAACCTACTAGTCACGTTTGTCACATCATAAACAGAAAGGTCTATCTAAGGTATTTTAATTATTTATATGAAAACTATCATTTATTAATCTACATATACAATTTATATAACTGAATGAAATAAATTACCTTTTATTTTCAAAATTTAAAGTAACAGTGCATGGTTCTTTAATAGTTCAGTGAAAATATTTCGATATAGACATGTTTATTGAAAAACTACCTTGATAATATTTAATTTTATTAAACTCACCTCAAACCTTAGTTAGGAAATAATTATTGTATTTATAGTTTTAAACTATAACATGTACAACAGATTCGGTAGACTTGTTGACCACGTGCCTAACCTGTAACGGCGTTTACCGCTTGTATGAAATTGTGCTTACAAATAATACTACGGCACTACAATAGATAGATAGCTAGGTTCGATCGTGAAAGCGTTTTTACGTGGTCCGAAGCATTGTAGGTGTGTTCAAAAATGAGCTAAGAGGGCAAAGTGCATCATTGCTTCTCCGTTTATCGCCTGCAATTTAATTGACACATGCTCTCAGCGGTCTCAGCTCATTTTCGAACACACCTATATAGTACTTCGGAGTACGTAAAAAACGATTACACGAACGGATTTTATACTAGGTTCACAGACATTATAGTAAGCGTAATTATCAAGTTCGTTGGCATTGATTGGCGCACTTCGAACTGTTGGAAAGCATATAATGATAGTAACGCATTTCGTACGTGGTTTTGCACACCAAAGGTAGTAGGCAGTGGACCGACCGACATGCCATATTGAATTTTACTTCAGTTACTAGGTGTTAACTGTGGTGGCGCTCGTGCAAGTTATTCCAGAATACTACGATAGTTTCCCCACCCTGATTTACATTAAAACACCGGGCTGAAGCCGTAGTAGCAAAAGTTGACGGCACGAGGTGATTGAAATTTTATATAAGTTACGCGAAGACCTTGTCCGAGAACATGGCTAGTACAAGCAGCTCAAAAGAAGGTTCAATCCTCGCAAAATTGGGTCTACAACCTGTAACTAAGTGCAGTCTCGTCAAATTCTACGCCCCAGCCGTCGGTGTCGCCTCCTATACCGCACTGTCGGTTAACGTCATGAATCCTAGCCTCGTCATAAGGTAACCACTGGAAGGCGGAAACCAGAGCTCTGCTTGAATGAAATTTAGTCCATTGTAATCAGCGTCATGACAAAAAATTGCTTCCCTAAGCACGAAGTATCTGTGCTATTCCGACTTATGATATTTAATTCATTACGTAATGACCGGAGAGGATGGCATCAGCTTGTCCGGCCCTCACGTCTCTTTACGATACTATAAATACCCTCCACCATCTTTGTAACGGGAGCATGAAATTATTATCAAATAGCCGGTTTATTCTGATCATTAATGAATTTTCAGAATATTCCCAAAGAGAGACATCACAAATTTTCTACTGGCCACTGCATTGTTTGGTACTAGCAGCTACATCTACACGAGGGATCATTTGAAAAAGGCACCAACTACAGCCAGAGTTGCCTATAGGTATATAAGAATGAGACAGAATCTTGAAAAAATTCTGCAGTTTCCGAATTTCTAATGTATATTTGACAAGTTATACATGATCATAAACATTGAAATGTTGTCATGTATATTGTCTAATCATAATATCATTATGTTGTCTTGATATGGGAAATTATATGAATTTTATGTATAACTATTTAAAGATGTGTAATGACATGCATCTTTTTAAAAATATGATTAGACACTCAAATATCAATAGAATACTTATGCTAAACATCATGAAATAGGAGATAATTTTTTAAGTTTGGAACATTTTCTAATAGTGCTGCTGGTGCTCTGCTGCTGAGCTTTGGATCTGTTTTACTTTGGGCTGTTCTGAGATCCATCGTACCACCCAATCCCACTATCTGCACATTAGCTGGTGTTGGTTCCGGTCTTGCCCTGGTGAAGATTGGCACCAGCTATCTTGACTTTGTCGACCAGGAGGTATTAAGGAAGTAGTAAGGTGCGTGTGTGTTTTAAGATCACGATAGATTGTTACGAATGATGTCAAAAGAGCCACCAAAAAAATTACAAACAATAAATGTAATATATGCATAATGAAATTAATGATTTACAGCTTTTGTCAGGTATTCACTGACGAAGACAATTCTACATCTGTTTTTAAATGAAACTAAAATGTACATAATAGGGAAGGGACAATAACAGGACTAAGTCTTACTAGAAAGATCTGCGAAATTTAATAATATACCAAAAATGAGTTACATTATTGTACAGATACTCGACGTACGTATGTATTTCAATTATTGAACAGAAGCAGCACTAAAGTTGTGGTTCATTGAACCTGCCAGAGTCCCAAATCCGTCAATCCATTTATCACTCCCGACTAATCTTTGATAAGGTAAATTGAGGGTATACTGACTTCAAAATTGATTCAGTCATAAATCTCGACGATGAACACGAAACACGATAGTTGTTGGTATGAACCAATTTTGTGTTGCACGATTGTCGTAGTACAACTATGTCGTATAATATTTCATCACGTGAATGTTTTTTACTCTGTAGAATATATCATCCTGATTGAGAAATACGTAGTCTCGTCCGACTAGTGATTTTATATTATAAATCTCGACCCTAAAAGATGCGTACACAAACTTTATTTAAAACAGTATGAATAATATTTCTATCAGCATAAATAACGTATCTTTTATAAATACAACACCTGTTTCTCCGTGAACTTTATTTTCCGTTAGTCATTCGGTACTGTTATCATTTGATTCTTTTAACTATGCACATCGGATATCGTAGATGCAATTGTGCTTGAAACAACCTCAGTCATTTTCTCTGTTAATCTGTAAATAGCATCGTCGAGAGTGTTCTTGTACTGTCCGTTTTCCTGTTCATGATTATGATTGTCATCATCACGACCATGATTGTGTTCACTTCTCTGATTTCCACCGCCTCCATGTGCGTGAGAGTGGGATGCTGAAAATAAAATAAGGATACACAAGATTAGAATACATATTATTACCGTCAACAATCATCCATGATCCAATGATTATCGGTTTAGCATTATCAACAGTGCACTAATAACATTTAAAGTAATATACCACGTTACCAAAAGAAAGAAGTAAATCTAATGTAAATTCATTAATCAAGGTTTCTAAACAACACGTTATCAGTATCAATATGAAATAAAGGACTGTCGAGCGAGCGTTGGGGTCAATTGCCTTGGATAAAATCTGCCGAGAAATTCTTGGAAAGTAGACCGACCTGTGGACCCTGTGCATCGGTCATTGCCACAGGCGGAGAAAGCGTACACAGCCGAATAAGCTATTTTATCATTGTATAAATAATACTATAGTTTACGTTACATTGAAATTAAGTCGTATTATATTATAGATTTCCTCGAAGGCATATTATAATGCAATGTACTAATCATTGGTCAAGAAACAAGTAGCAACATCTTCAACTCGGACTAGCACGCCCAACGATCCATGATTTCCACGTGCAAACTCAATTCAGAAAATGGCGTTGGTTGATGCTTACTCTAAATTGACTCTACATCGTTGGAAGATATACATAAAGTTTCTGAACGCCTTTGCACGGACGGCACATCGTCTATATGTAGATAAGAATCTATGAACTCAGTCAAGGTAACCCGAACGAAATCGATTACTGAGTTTGAAACAGGATCTAAATGATTCCACGTAAGGTACCAAGAGAATTCGAGGACTCACTGGCAAGCTGTATTCCCAGCATGACCATAAATCCAACAATGATGGCTGCTAATTGAAGTAGTCCACTCTTCTCATTAGCTTTTTCACGAGCAAGCACCTCGAAGAAAACGACGTAGAGTAAGGTTCCAGCTGCCATGCCTTGTAGGATGGTCGGTGTAGGCCCCAGGTACTCACTGTCGTTCTTTAAGTATGCCAGCGCGAGGCCAATGATTATTCCAAGAGGTGTCACCATTGAAAATGCTGTTAGGTAGCCTAGGATGTTCCTGGTGGTAGCACCAGCTACATAGAGTTCCATACCCACGCAGAAGGCAATCACCAGCTTGTGCGTGGCTATCGCAGTTGCTAAGTATATTACAGAGGATATCGAGGGTTCCAGGCCTACAGTGAGGCCTTCGAATATTGCGTGAAATGACAGAGCCAAGACGGCAAGTAGACCGTGCACAGAAGCGTTGTCATTGGTAGACGGTGCTTTCGTACTACTTGGTATCACCACGTCGGTTTCGCGTGACATTCGTTCACTGGGATTTAGGGAATTTGTAGATTTTTTTGTACATGCCCCAGGACCCTCGCATATGTCGGATGATAAAGTAAAGATGGCAGGTATAGACGATCCCATCTTAGTAACACCATCGAGAGACTCCAGACTGTCTTCTCCTCCAGCACCCGAGGTAGTGGATGTAGTAGTGGTACTTGCTGATACTCCATTTTTGCATTTACGTAATGACAATGTCCTGTAGAGCACGGATTCGGAGGGCTCATTTTTCTTATCCAGAGCTGCATGCACGACCTCTTCTATGAGGTAGACCAAGAAAAATCCACCACAGAAGAGAAGTTCTGCCAAGCTGATTGAACCCAGGTCAGCCAGCTGTCCTTCGGACTGATGTCTCTCCACACTTTCCCGGACTTCCGGTGCGAGGTGAATAAATGTTGTGAAGAGTAGAACACCACCTCCAAAGCAGAGTAGCAGCGACGTCAGAAGACCCTGTCGAGTATCATTGGATTTCGAGTTCTCTTCGGCATCCTTGAGCTTCTCCTGTTCTCGTAATATTTTTCTCCTCAATGGCTATCTTTCTATTTAACTCATTTAAGTAAATAGCTCGAAACTTCTCTGAGTACTCCCACGCAATGCCATTACTTCGGTACTATCAGTACGTAGGAACGCATTTGCGATTCTAGCAGATGACGAAAATTATCTTTAACAACTTCGACGATACCGTACGACTTGATGATTGATAAGTAAAAAACAAAAAAATATACGTCAGAGAAGTCTCGTGCACATTTGACGTCTCTGGGAGACATACTTGTGAAGAACTGGAACCATTTGTCGACGGACTCGAGGAAGAACTGGAGTTCCTGGATATTTTGCACTCGCGTCGCATTTTGTAACGTCCTACCATGAGGGGTAACGTGCCAAGTGCAAGTGAACCGCATCCCAGTACAATCATAGCACCAATTTTCACGAATATAATCGTCGTCGTAGAGGTGCCCGATGACGTATCTGCAGGCGTCCATTTGTCCTGAGCTCCTTCCATTATTATTGAAAGACAACCCAATCGAACTTTATTAAGAACAATCTGTCCCAGAACTTCCTTTAGTAGCGATGAGTCCAATGTACCTTAGCGTATACGTAAGGCTTACTGAAACGGCAGAAAACATTTGTATTTACGAAACTGTACACTCTTTCTACTTATGTAAGAATGCATTCCGAGCTCTTCATACGCACATATATATGTATGCATATGAATATAGACTTACCGGCCGTGCAGGTAAAATACAGCCGGTTCCCTTACCAATTGTAATACGCGCATTTATGTTACATATAGTTATTTTAAATTACAAAATTCAAAATACTTAAAGAAAACTTTCTAATGGAGACCCATAAAATTGAAATCACTAAAAATCAAATAAATTAATTGTCACAATCTCGAAAGGCACGATATGGTACCTCACAATTCTCAATCTATAATACTATTCACTATATCGGCACTGTACTGCTCAAATAAGTACAATCACCGAATTTCCTATATACGCGAAAAAGTAAATAAAGAATCTCGATTTTACAAGTGCATACTGTATAATAATTAATTCACTCCTTCCCGCTGGTCACTTTCCCACGAAAGTTCCGCAACGGAGTTCACTCTCGGTCGGTCGTTTCCTTTCGTGCGAACACCGCGCACCACGATCCAATTTCGAGTTTACTTGGTCTTTGAACAACGGCAAACGAGACACTCCTAGAAGGGACCTGTAAGCTGTCCCGTCTTATGTCCCTCCTACTTCCGTCGACGGTCCGTATGCCCTCCTTGCATGACCCCCCACTGTTCCACGGGGAGTTATTACGTCTACGTATATATATACATATATCTATGTACGTTGTATAGTATATACAACGTCCATACTCTCTGACCGAGGTAAAGCGTACTCGGTATAACAACCGCTTTACTCTCTCCTGCTCCGACACGTACGTTCAGTACGGTAGCTCGTCGTTTACTGCTCGATGCTTGCTGGCCCATTCTCACTTTGATCATCCGACCTATAGGATATACCTCATACATATATTGCTATAAGGCTGCCCCTACAAATTTCCCGTCACTTCGTTAGCTCTGATGACCTACCGTACTGGCATTACGTCCCAGAACCAATTTCGATGACGTTTCCCAGCTTAGGCGTGTGATTCCTTAATTACTACTGATATTAACAAGATTTTTAACTCCACAAAGTAGTGAGACTGAATGAGATATAATTTACAAAGATTATATATATATAAGTTATAAGACTTTTCTGTTAATCACATTTGATATAGATTGTGGACCTGTTTTTATTTACATGTGTTAATTACAGATAAGGTTAACTACGTAGTATATAATGATTTTATTCGATGTGATAATAATATCATAATTGATTTGTTTTAGTGAGTTACACACAGGGATGAGTATATAGACTTCGAAGGATCTATTGCCACGTAAAACAGTGTTAGACACGCAGCACGATCAATCGAGGACATTTTTTAACATCACCAGGAAGTGGCCTACGCCACAGTTCAGATTTCAAGGATCCGATTAGAACCGATGAACAGATCCGTCTAGAATGGGATTGAGAAAGTTCGCCTGAAACGTGACGATCTCTCCGTGCAGCTAGCGCCCGCGAGGTTGCCGATTATGTTCGAAGCCATCGTCCTCGCAGTTGTAAGCATCGAAAATGTGAATGCTTCGAATTTAATCCGTGCTTGGTTCAGCTGTGCCATGCGAATTAAGAATTGCCATGCAAACAAGTAAAAGAATAGCAAGGGGTGAAAAAAAAGAAGGAGGTAGAAAAAGCAAAATGTCAGTCAGAACGTAAAAATCAATATAGGGGGTCATAGTTAGTACATGGTGCGATAAAAATATAGGCACGTGCAAGGTTATCAGCGTACTATGTAAATGCATAAAAAAATCACAGATACTCACTCACTGTCTGAAGTCCAAACATTACGACAAACCCAATCAGGATAGCAAGGAATTGATCGAGTCCGTTGCGATGCTTGTGGAGAATCTCAAAGAAGACTACGTAGAGAAGTGTTCCAGTAGCTATGCCCTATAAGAACCAGATACTTTATGATGTTCTCTGACAGTATTCATGTATATTTGTGTGTTAAATTAGCGTACCTGAAGAACAACAGCCATTGCTCCACTGGCAGCTGCACTTCCGCCTCCTACAAGGAGCATCCCGATGCCAATGCCTAACGGCGATACCACGGCAAACGTACAGATGTATATTACTGATAAATAAAGTTTGGTCTTCGATGTGATCAATTCTACGCCAATGCAAAAGGCTATGACGAACTTATGCGCAGCTACTGCAGCGAACATATACCTGGGATAAAGAAAAACGTAAGTGTCATTGAGGTACTTTATGTTTTTGTACATATATGTTTATAAATATTTATTTACCATACATAGCTGGCAGAACTTTCAAGACCAATGGCGAGACCCTCGAAGAGTTCATGCACTGATAAACCAAGGACTATCAGTAAACCTCTGATTGAATTTACTACAACATCGTTAGATTCTTCAAGCGGGGGTAAATGACTGTGACCGTGTCCGTATCTGTGAGTAAAAAATGATAATGCAACTGCTCGTGAGTTAAATTCAAAAGGTCGTGAATGATCATATGACCTTTCTTTATATATTAATCGAGCTGATGGTTTTATTAAACTTACCCTACGTTATTCCCTGTACAAACTGAATTGCCATTTGGATTTACCAATTCGTTTGTACTTTTAGTGATATTGTTATTTACTACTTTTTCAGTTTCTCGTTTTCTTAGATACGTATGCACCACCTCCTCTACCAGGTACATGATGAAGAATCTGCAATATCTTTGGGATGAGTTGGTGTTCTTAAACTTTGAATACAATAACGAGTGGGCACTTACCCAGAACACATGAATATTTCAGCTAGAGAGAAATTCAGATCTGGCAGGTCGCCGGATTCTACGAGCTTTTTTACTCCCTCGGAGACTTCCGGTAATAAGTGGAGGAATGTCGTTGAAAACAGAACGCCACCCCCAAAACCCAGGAGGATACTAACCATTTTCTGTGATCTAATATGTAAAATTGAGAGTGAAGGAAAATTGTTATATTTATTAAATTATTAATTTCACATAATACCAATTAAGTACCTTGGACTTATGTGACTTGAGGTCCAGTTGAACCATTTAGCCAACTGAATAGGAACTAGACCCACGGATATACTGACTATACAAAGTACTACCATGGTAGTACCTTTAGCGATAAGAACTGCCGCTATATCTTCTTCACTGGTCGTGTCATGTCGCGTAAGAGCAGTCGTTAAATTTATAGTCGGCATTTTGAAAATTGTTCCTTATCCCTACAACATATCAAAGAATAATATAACACATGTAAACTATGCACTTTAGTAATAGTATAACGTATTGTATAAATAAAAATGTCGAGTTATAATTTTTCACTTGAAACACTTGAGATTCACTAAATCCAAAATTGTGATCACATTTACATAGATTTATAAAAAATTGTTTAATATAACAAATTTTTCTCCAAATCATTCTTACCTTTTGTATTATATCCAAAGGTTAATGACAAATGTTTAAATTTATTATAATGAAAGTATATATATCTATGCATATACCAGTTAATGGTAAGTCAGTGACAAAGTAACGAAAGGAGCGTCAAGAATTAAATAATAGATACAAATCTTTCTCGTCATATATATTACTGTGATATCGTGGAAGATCACTGGAATCAGCTACGTGACGTGATAACAACGAATCAAGGGCTAAAACAAGAATAACTTGTCTGTATAGGTGGAATCGCAAGCATGTACATGAACCTTATACTGTAGAATATACAGAACGTCTCTGATATTAATTACTATCGATTATTATCATTACAGAACCTGTCTGATATGGATTTACTATATCATACAACTTTTAACGGTTAACGATTACTATCATGTTAATTTAAATGGTTAACACGTCGTTACTTATTAAACTATCGGTATCGATTTTTCTATTATTTCGTACTGTCATAATTTCAAATTTTATTATTATTTTATTATACTTCGATCCTGGTGAAAGTAGCGAGTCATAAGGTACGAAACAAAAAATTAAATATGAATCTGCGCCAGATGACTCATTTTCAACATGCCATTAATCGTTATGCATGATTTGCTTCCGATAATGAGATTTTCTGCGAGTGAAAGACAACTGAATGAGGGAATGTTCAGTTTTGTTGTGACTAGACAAAATCTAGGGCTCGTGACCTCGATGAATTCTCCACAAAGAATGAGTCAATGCTACGACCTGATGCATATATCGTAGTATCCTGGAAATAACCTCTAGAGATATTTCATGAACGAGGTAACACTTTTGATATCTGATCACGCTTAAATTCAGGGAGTGGCTTTAAAAGATCAATTTATTATTTACACGATAAATGTCAGCTGATCATCATTTCTAATTAAATGCACGATGCACAGTGATAATCAGTGAATACGATAGTTCGATAATTCTGAGAATTGGTACGAAATTTATAATTAATTATTGCGAACAGGCTTTTAGATCTTACCGTGATATACGTTTATATTCCTTTGTCTTTTATATTTATTACACCCTCATTCACTTAATAGGCGTTAATTTCCTTGTTAAGGCTCAACAATTTACTCTCAGACGAATTGTATACATATATCTCCGTTGGTCCGCTACGGTCTTTCAGACAATGCAGCCTACAATGAAATTGCGATAAGAAATTTTTCTTCACGGATATTATTATTACGATAATGGGGTACGTACATGGTGTAAGTTACCACATTAGTATCAGTTATCAGACAACTCAGCAACTGTGTTTAGCTGCTGTTTTACGGTTTACGTGGCTTCCTCTACTCTTTGCAATCACACACCAAATGTTTCGTACGCTCGTGACATAAAAAATGTACACATATGGAATCTGGTAAGATCGTTTTTTGCACTCACACAAATACCTTTCAGATCATTGAAATCTTCAGTTATCTGATTGTAAAACTTTTCATTATGCTTTTATTCGTTTGGCATATTACGATACGATCGATCTCCGATCAATCATGAATGAATAAAATTCATTTTTTTTATTGTACTACGTATATTTACTGTATGTGTTTGTCAAGCGCGTATCATGCCGAAGAATTTTTGTCAAATTTAAATTTACATTACTTCGTTTCATCGTGTCTGCAAGAATTTTTTTTCTTCAAATACCAAGGTCTTTTATAATTTTATTTTTATTCACTACTTATCACGTATAAATCACGATCGCACCTGGTGCTCAGATTGGGTTCAAAAAATTCTACCTGACATCGGATACGCGATGTTTAGTATTAAGAATGTTTTGTGCGTTCATATATTAGAAGTAGGCCACTACTTGTCACGGTCAGACGAGAATGCGAACGAAAGAACGAATCGACACGCTTCTAATGTAACAGTACGAGTAGGCGAGAAAGGCGACTGAAAATAAAACGAGCGTAGCGAAGTCGATTCTTTTTTCTCTTCGCAGCGCCTTATTCCCTCTCTTTCAGCTTCGTAATGGCGGCTACCATATTATTCATTTACTGGATATGCAAAATACATCTGCATCCTTAAGCTTCTTATTTACGGATACATCGTTAAAATAATTTTATTCTATACATTGTCATCAGCACTATCAGCATGTTGCACTTAGAAATAAATAATATTTTATAATATTCTTTGATTACGCCGAGGAAAAAAAATGCCACCTACCACTATTAAATAAATAAAAAAATTTATTTACACATATATACATCTTAACATTTATAAATACTCGTGTGCACAATGGTTATGTTATTTCTGATTGTCGTGTCACGATAAGATTATCTCATACGTAGCATTCGTATGGAAGCACGTGCGTGATAAGGATGCAACGTATGCGTTATAAAATGTTGGTAAAGGACGACAGGATCTGCGCGGTCCGGCAAACTGTTACGTTTGGCTATGGGAGAAAACCGGCTTGAGAATCAGATATATAGTAAGTCAGGTATAGTTGAGAATGTATTTCTAATGAATTCGCAAAACCTTGAAAGTTCCTCCCTCCATTGGTATAGTGTGTAATAGGGAAGAGAATTTGGTAGTCCGCGACGTCTCTGCGTGACTTCAGGTTTTTGTAAATCCATTATTACTTCGAATTCCGAGATAGTGCTGTTTAACGTACTTGCATTTCAATTTTAAATTATTACAATACGTACGGTTTCAAATTGTAGGTTATGCACGTTAACGTGTATTCGAGTAATTTCATTTTATCTATGAGCCATATGTCTGGCGTATCCGTTTAGTAATTCTAAAATAATTCTCCAGGATTCAGTGTCTGAACACTGAATATACGTCACAGATGATCCATTTAAATTTGTCATTAATGTGCATTACCGAGAACGCGCGGATGTCGTTTCGCTTGATGGGAATGTTTAACAGAATGTAAAAGGTATGTTCGACGGTCGATAGAAACGATATTGGTCGAAGTTTCATGGACGGAACGAAGGTCGTCCTCTCACTATCTCACGGTTGGTTACTCGTAAGGATCGGTACATCCATTCATTTTGTCACGGTAAATAATAGTCAACGAATGGCAATTCTTCTATTGATAATTTCTTTTTTTATTTAGCACATAGTCATAGTCGTCCTTTATCTCTTTGTCTCGCGTATCAAATCATGTAGAGATTGCGTTGTATTCAAAATCTGACAATGGTAAGTCTTTGTTTTCTTAATATCATGTTTTCGTATATACGCATATACGTAATTTAATCAGCATATTGTATAGCTTGGATATTCCGTGTATACTCCGTTGCAGGCGTTGAATGTGGCACTGAAAAAGTGGAGGTAATCATCGCGTGTTACTACATAACCTCGAATTCTCTACACTTAACGTTTTACGTGAGAAAGCTCAGGAGATTAATACTTGGGATCGAATTTTAGACAAGTTGAATATTATTTGAGTATTGATATGTAAAAGTTGAATAAAACTTTTAAAAATAGTTTCTTCTTCTTATACCTATAGACTAGTGCATTTTCCCTAATGACCTTAATAGCGATTGATCGTTTCGCAGTACGTATTAGAGTTCTGGAAATGATCCAGGTACAAAGGTCATGGGTCATATTGCTCGTCTATAAAAGTCAAATGAGAATAGCGGTAAGAGTCGAAAGACAAGAAAGTAACGTGGAGTCAAATAAAAATGATCTTCATCGTGTAATAAAATCCAGATTGCTTCCTTGTCGACTAAACATAAGTTTTATCATCGATGCTCGTTTGCCATGATAATATCTTTAATGCCTTATCAGTCTACGTGTGATTCGATCATCCAGCTTTATCGTTAACAATCTGGGTCACCCTTCGAACGAAATTTAATGGTATCGGTGGGTTCTTTAACGAATAACAAGTCATTTTAAGCAGCATAGACATTAATAACGCACGTAACCTTTTATTAAAGACTGTGTATCTGCGCGCCGCTTTCATTCTTTTATTTGTAGTCGGTACACCCGGTATATATATATATGCACACATATATTTAGTCGTATTTTTCGATGTAAGTATTGTTCTTCGTTTCTCTTATGGCACAAACATATATAAGACGATTATATGTATACTGTAATTACGAATGAATAAACTTAATGATAAAAATATACATATCGATAACAAATATATATTCATAAAGTAACGGTAATAAAGTCTCACAGATCCATTGACCGATCCACTGCTTTACATGCGTGTAACGCATGAAGCGGTTACATTACGTCTAATTTGTGAATATATTAGCTGTTGCTATATTGCACAAGCCAGGAAACCCCCGAAGAGACACAGGTGTGCCATAGCGAATGGGAATACCGGCATAATAACAATAGGTGCTGACTATCAACTGAGGAATTCGCTTGACTACCCAGTATAAAGTACCACGATCGAACATCGGCTCTTCTTAATACCAAGACAGGAATTTAATGGTAATTCTATTTAATCACGTTGATAGAATAACGGTTCGAGATTTCATTGCAGCTGTTTATATATCTGGCATGTCTACTTGTTATCAGAAAAAAGTAGTTCGTATACACGAGTTTGCGTACATTTTTAATTCAATGACAATGTACGCGTATCTATGAGTTCAGCGTGGGAATTTACTTAAACGTCGATCTAAATAATCGGTTTAATTAAAAGCCTTTTTTTATTTATTTTGTGGTTTTTAATTAATGCGTCTAATTTTAAGAATTAACTATGTCCTTATCCTGGTTCGTTTACCTCTTTGACTATGTACCGAAGATAATTGTCATTAATTTCGCAAAATACTTTGTCAGTGGTAATAATGACAGCTGTGTAAAGGTAAACTTGGTACGTAGTACGCTTTCGAGTTATTTGGGTAAGTTGTAAGTGGTATTTCTCACGTTCTCGTAAAAGTTACAGTTTCTAGGATAAAAGTGGTTCCGTACCAGTTGGAGGATAGGATCTGACTATTAACTGGGACTTATTTATATATAAAATTTATGAGCGATTCCGAGGGTCCGCGTCTTAGAAAAATAACAAATTTTAATCGACGATTTATTCCTTCCGTATGAAAAGAAATGGCTGTGATTACGTCGGTGCGATTTAAAAACATTAAAAATGTATGTAGTTAGCGTCAGATCAGGTACCGAGAAGCAGTATATATAAGTATTTGGATTGTAATCGGTTTCACTGACTATATATGATAGCCGTTATCAAGCAATATGCCTCTTAATTAAATGATAGATTACTATTGTTGTTTTTACTAATTGACATAAGTCAATTTCTAATTTTTATACAGTACATTATCTGTACAAGCATTTTTTTTAATATAGAATTAATGCGATTGAAAAGAATTTTGAAATGAACTTTGTCACCTTTATATTTCAACTCTACTATTTACATAAAATATGTACTAAAAAGATGGCTTATTAATATGAACACTGAATGAAATAATAAACATATTTTCACTGTGTACTACAGATAAATGGCCAATTTTATATTTAACTATACTAACTGATGCAAATTGAAAAAAATAAACATTTTCAGTAAAAAACAAATGTACTGTATTCACAGTACATACTGGCCTATATAATAGACGATGTATTATTCTTATCAATGTTAATGAGAATGAGTGTGGCTGGATTCAGTAGCCAGCTTAATGCCAAGCATTACGAAAAATCCGATGAGGATCGCAAAGAATTGTAAAAGTCCGGTGCGATACTTTTGCAAGATTTCAAAGAACACTATATACAAAAGAGTGCCGCTGGCGAATCCCTATAAAAAAATAACACAACTATGTTAGTACATTATTCTGAGAACATTATTGATTAATGGTGCGAGACTTTGCCCAGTCTTTCTAATTGTATTCTGTTCGATTTACCTGAAGGATAATAGCTGCTGGTCCACTGGCTACTGCGCTTGATCCTCCCACTAGGATTATTCCTATGGCGATACCAATGGATGATACCACGGCAAATATAGAGATATAAATAATCGACAGATAACGTTTTGTTTTTGATGTAACGAGCTCCACGCCAATGCAAAAGGCTATTACGAATTTATGTGCGCTAACAGCACCAAACATATACCTGTTATGTAAGTGCCGGTTATTAATATTCAATAACATTTTTTTATATCTGAATATCTTAACTATTTTTGTATTATATTTATACACACCATACGGAACTGGCTGAACTTTCAAGACCGATGGCAAGTCCTTCAAAAAGTTCATGTACCGACAAACCAAGTACAATTAAGAGTCCTCTCAGAGAAGTTATCAAGAAATCATCGCTGTTTTCTAATGTAGGAGGTAGATGACTGTGGCCATGGCCAAGAGCATTGCTAGAGAAATACGATTAAATATTGGCCATTTTATTAAATATAAAATTGAAGTAAGGTATATTTGAACAATATAAATTATTTCTTTTTTAAATTGAACTCAATAATATTATACTTTTTTGAAGAAAAATCTCTTTTGTATTACCTCTGAGAATTTGCTGTTCCATTAATTTGGCCTGCTTCAACTAGATCATTATCACTTTTACACAGATTCTTTTTTGATTGTGTCACATTCGCTTTATGAGTTTTGACTATATACAAATGTACTAGTTCTTCCACGAAGTAAATTACGAAAAATCTACGATTAAACAAATACTGACGTTTTGACTGATTTTTTGTCAACAATATCGTTATATCCTTATGCACAAATCTTACCCGGAACACATGAATAATATTGCCAAGGAGATACTGACTTTTGGTAAACTTCCATGTTCGACCAATTCATCAACGCCTTCAATGACTTCAGGCAGTAGATGAAGAAAAGTAGTCGAAAAAAGAACACCACCACCAAACCCCAAAAGTAGTCCGATAATTTGAACAGATCTGTTACAAACAAAAAAAATCATGAATTCATATCACTAATATCCAATAAACGGGCATTGTAACGTCTATTAACCTTTATTTATTGTTACCTGGGACTTATTTGCTCCGAATTCCATTTTAACCACTTGGACAATAAAATAGGAAAAAGTCCACATATGACACTGATACTACAAAGTGCTACCATAGTGACACCTTTGGCAACAATTACATCTGAGGCCCTATCTGTCTCATCATGATCGCCGTGACGTAAATTAAAGATAGTAATGTTTTTAAACTCCATTCTTGTTGTTAAATCTTTCTGTGAAATAAATAAAAAATATATTAATTTAATTATGGTCTATTATAAAGACAAAAAATATTATTTATCTTATTATAGTGTACAAACTACTTGTCCATACATTTAGTGTTTTAAAACCGTGCGCGTCTCTCAAATGAAAATTAATTTAAATTCGTTACGTACCCGCTTATAAGCCTTGCGTTACTACAGTATCATCCGTACAGATTTTCTTCGTATAGACCCACTCTTCGAATATGATATAGCACGTCCGTATCGTACGATATTCACAGAGTATAATGACGTTTCGATTGTTCTTACTGTTCTTTCCCCGCTGTTTTTGCAGGTGGATCTTTCCAGGAATAGAAACGGATGACAAATACAGCAGACGCCAAATTAACCAAAGACGCCGTAATCAGTTGCGAGAAAGTTGTCCTAGTACAGCATGCGAATAACGATTCGCTGATGTTGGATATCGTTGGTGTATATATAGTCCGTTATTATCAAAAATATCTCTATTTTATCAATCGTATAAAGACAAGAGCTCAGGCCGTTCAACGGCTAAGTCTGAGAATGTCAAGTTGTTCGTTATCGTTATAAATAATCCTTCTGATCAGTTATATAAAATTTTAAAAAATTAGGCTGACTATGTAATCAACAACGTAGATTAACGCCTCTTGATTAACGGATTTCGATAAACGGCAAACGCGTAACTATTATTGATAATACTTTTGAATATACCAATCGAAGAGACTTCTTCTCCTTAGCTAACTTTATATCGTTCTGTTCATTCTTCACACTCGTGCTCAAGTGGTGTTATTATAAAACAGGATCTCTTAACTTCTGAGAATCCCTCATTCGAATTGAAAAATCCCCGCGATGCTTGTATCTGTAGTCGTATGTATGTACAGACGCTTTCAATAGAAGATTTATCTAAGCTTCAAATCTGATATGGAAATCTATAGAAAGGTGAGGATGCGTTGGATGACTGATTATTAACGCGAAAACGGTAAGATGCCGTCACCGGCGACGCCAGCTACACTATAAACATTTTACCTTAACGTTCTGGGGTTAAAGACATAAATTTCTTCTTCCGGGTATTCCCCTTCCTTAACTCAAGAGTACAACGGGGAAAAACTGACAAAGAGCTCGGCATATAATATGCCATTTTTAATAATCCTTTGAGAAATTTGTAATTTGAGTACAGAAAACACAAACAATAAGGAAATGTATAGAGTAAATCAATCCTTTACCATTAGGAACGGCGCTTTACCGTAGGTGATCACTGGATTCCCAATAATTTACCACTAACTGAATATAATTGTCATCGACAAAGCGCTATTGATAATCGTAAACTCCATTTACAAAATTAAATTTCAGGATGAAATTATATATGGAGATTGTAATTTTTATTTATTCAGCCAAGGTGCAAATTACAGATGTAGCTGTATCATCGATACGTTACTTTCAGTTTGAACACCTTATCGTTTTATGGATACATTACATGATTTGCTGCCAGTATTACAAGTTCAGCATGTTTTGTATGTTTGTATGTTTTTCTCCATGAGATTGAGTGCTGTTAATAATTTTGGAACGTATCCATATCGATGATTCTAAGCATTGGATTTTAGTTTGATGTAATTTTGTCAACTTTGATAGGTAATATTGAAATTATGGAACAAGGAATTTTCGCCAATGACGTATGCTCATTCCGCATTCCGTGCGTTCCTCATGTTTAATGCTAGTGTTGTGACGGTTGGGGAGTATCTGTCAATCATGTAATTTATATTGGTTAGGACAAATAGTAAAATCACAATTTTTAAGAATAAATAAGCACCATCGTTCGAAGAAACCTTGCGGTTCAGTTTGCTTGTACTTTTTCGGAAGTAGACTGACACTTTACTGGCTCGAGGAAAAGTGAGCTTAACTATCATAGGTTACGCATTTTCTATCTGCACACATTTATATGTATAATTGAATTAGGTGTTCCCTGTTAGTTGTTTTTATTATCGGCAATTGTTCAATGTTTTTTAAAAATCTTTCTGCTTTTTTCGCGATTATTTAAAGTATCTTCAGACTGTGGACACAAATTAACATCATTATTGACTTTCTGTCATTGGAGATTTATATAACGTCGCTATGAGATATTCGTATAATATTGTTTTTTTAATATTATTTTTTTTAGTGCATTGTGTGATTTATTGAAACCTATAGCATATTATAGTCACAATATTAAATAAATATACTTTATCAAATAATTTATAGTTCAATTAATTTTAAGATTTTTTATGGTTTGCAAGGCTGCTTTAATTAATATTAGCAATCAGTTTACAAAAAAATACCGTAAATGTTAAAAACATCAATAATTCACATCTTGCAGGTAAACAAACATGTCGTCACCTGAGCAACTGGCAATTATTCAATCTAAATTCACTGCTGGTGAAACAGTAGTAATTGTATCCTTTACATTACATAATTTTCAGTATACATCAGTATTATAATATTATAATAAAGGGATGCAAGAAGAATTCTATTGATATAAATACCTTAACGAACATCAAGGCAATCGAAGCATCATTGATGCAAGGATGTATGAGAGCTGCAAGACTCCTTGCTCTAGTCAATAAAGGTTCAACTCATGCCTTGGTCATATTACTTACGTCCAGAACACCTCCACAAGTATTTAGTGACCTTACAATTGAAAGAGTACTTCCCATAGACCATGATTTCAAGTGTGATCTAGGTAAATATCGTAGTATATCGTTTTAACATTACAAATGTAACACCTTTTCATTAAAGACACAGATGGAAAACAGCAAGACAGTTTAGATGTTTATCTGAACGTGTCATCCAGAAAGCTAAGATTAGTATTTGAAATGAGGCCTGGAGTAACTACAAGTTCATTGGTGTCTGAAATTTTTCGAGCTATTGAAGGTGATTCTCCATCCAGAACCTTTATTTGCAAGTTTAATGATAATAGAATTCACTGCAATAAAAAAAATAAACTTTAAGTCTTTCAGAAAAACAATAGTCCACCCACTGAGTACTTATGGATTCAAAAACTAACTGGCAGCACAAGAAATTTGGATAGTGCAACAGACGATATTCAAGATGTCGCAGATCCTGTAAGTCACAATAAGATATTAAGAATTTTGATCAACACAAAATGAATATTGGATGGCTAGTAATAATTGAGCTCTTTGATAAACTGTAATGTTTCTCGTTCTATCACCTTCTGATACTGAAAGAAATTTGAGCTAATAAATGTGATGTCATTCATTCCTTAGAACTAGTTATGGTTTCATGAATTTTGTTTGAGTTTTCTATTATCACATTTAGTCTACTAAACATATTTACTAAATACCTCTTAGATCAGTCAGTTGTTTATTACATGCACGCGTTACTGCAGCTAGAAAAATATAACTTATGTCGTCTACCTTATTAATTAATTCCCATTAACATCATGGAAAAAATAAAAATGCAAAAACTACTACATAAAGCACACCATGTGAGTAAGACTTTTATGACATAATACACACACTAGGTTTAATATTTTCGTCTGAATTACCATGGATATCATGCCATTTTTTATTTTACTATGGTTTTAACACACATATACACCAATATCACATGCAAGACATTATCTTGCAATATGCGATAAGATTTTCCAGCGGATACACATCCCCTTACTTCTTTAAGAAGTATTAGATCCTCAAACATTTTTCATTCTTATTTAACATCTAGAGTGTAAAGACGTCACATGTAGTTAGTTAAGAAAATGATCGTGCAGCGTTGTATTTTGTCTATTAAAAATCTCATGGAATCACTACATCTCTATCACAGGTATTATTCTCTTTGAATAGCTAACGGAGATTCAACGGTGATCTCTGGATTACTTACATTAAATAAAATACGAAAATTTTTCCTCCAGCCTGTATTATTTTGTAATTATATTAAAATGAAAATTTATTATTAAATAGCTGGTGGAACTGGAAAGTCCGGATTTGGTTGTACCTCGACGAAATATAGCAACGGGTAAGACACCCGTTGCTGCTAGAGAATCGGTGGTCCGATATCAAATGGCATGTAAAGAAGAAGATTATACGTATACTGAAGTATTCAGGTATGCTTTCAATTAGAAATGAAAATATATAACATCGGAAAATGGTTTTCTATCAGTTACGTTCTTGTAGAATGTTTATTGGTACCTGGAATGTTAATGGACAACCGCCAAATGGTATAACGTTAGAGCAATGGTTAAGTAGTGATCAAATCCCACCAGATCTATACGCAATTGGTTTTCAAGAGTTAGATTTGAGTAAAGAAGCATTCCTATTCAATGATACATTGCGAGAAGAAGAATGGCGGTAAGAGAAACTTATGTATCTCATGTTAGTACTTTTTAAACAATCTATTAATCCCAATATTAATTTTTCTTATTTCCAGACAAGTGGTGACGAAGTTTCTTCATCCAAAAGGCACGTATTATCAAGTTGCCATCGTGAGACTCGTAGGAATGATGTTAATCATTTTTGCACAAGAGGTGCACAAACCCTTTATAAAGGCAGTGTCGGTACATACTGTGGGAACTGGAATAATGGGGAAAATGGTACGACATTTAGCAATTCCTAAAACTTATTTTTCCTATTGATTCCCTATATTCTCTATATTCTTGAACTAGTCTCATAAAGTATATATTCACTAAATAGGGTAATAAAGGTGGTGTTGCTGTGAGCTGCACCATTCATAACACATCAGTCTGTTTCGTAAATGCGCATTTAGCTGCTCATTGCGAAGAATATGAAAGACGAAATCAGGATTATGCTGACATTTGTGCCAGGCTTTCATTCTCTAGTTACGTGCCGCCTAAAGGTTTCAAGGATCATGAGTAAGTAATCGTGATTGTCGTGCACAGACAATTTCTAGTTTCATTATTAAATTATTGACTGTTTTCTTAGTCAAATTTATTGGCTGGGTGATCTGAATTATCGAATTACGGAAATGGAAAGTAGTGTGGCAAAACATCATATTACGAATGGAAACTATGGGCCTGTGATAGCATTGGATCAGCTGGTGCAGCAGAGACGTCTCGGTAAAGTTTTTCAGGGTTTTCAGGAAGCTGAGATCAATTTTAAGCCTACATATAAATATGACCCGGGTACTGATAATTGGGACTCAAGGTTTGTAATAGATGAAGGGATATTTGAAAAATGTCAAGCAACGGATTTGTTGGACTGTCAGTAATTTATATTGTATTGCATACTATAGTGAGAAGGGTAGAGCACCAGCTTGGTGTGATAGAGTATTATGGAAGGGTGAAGCTATTTTACCAATTGACTACAGAAGTCATCCTGAATTAAAAATATCCGATCATAAACCCGTCAGTGCAATTTTCGATTCGCAGGTGAGCTAATCGATTTGAAACAAGGTACACTTTTTATCTGATAATCGTGATATACTATTTAAAGTGTTTTCCGTTCTAGATTAGAGTAATTGACATAACCAAGTACCGTAAGATACATGAAGAAGTAATGAAAAAACTTGATAAGTTAGAGAATGAGTTTTTGCCCCAAGTTATGGTGGACACGACCGAAGTTATATTTGACACAATACACTTTATGGAGCCTAGCACTAAGGAACTTATTATTGCCAATACTGGTCAGGTTAGTTAGATTTACTTGATTAGTAGCAAGTGAAAAGCACAAATTAAAATATATACTAAGAAAGCATTTATTATCCGTTCTTTGTAGGTACCTGTTCAGTTTGAATTTATAAAAAAACTGGACGATACTAGCTACTGTAAGGAATGGTTACACATAGAACCTTATATGGGTTTTATAAAGCCGGGTGAGAAGTGTGACATTCAGCTTGAAATTTTTGTGGACAAGAAGTCTGCGTGCAAACAAAACTCTGGGGAAGACAAATTGTACGATATTCTAGTCTTACATCTTGAAGGTGGCAAAGATATATTCATCACCGTCCTAGGTGCGTCTGATGTACTAATAACATTTATTAAAATATTTCATGTTTCTCACTATGCTATAATTAAAAAATTTTAGCAAGCGCTTATGAGCGTAGTTGCTTTGGTTCTTCGATGGAAGCGTTGGTCCACATTCGAGTACCTATCAGGGAAATTCCTGCTGGTAGAATAATGGAGCTAGTAAGTGAAATCTTGTACATATTAAAATAAGAGTTGCATATATGATAACAAAGTTTCTACTAGGAAAACAATAAAAATCCAACGCAAGAACCTTATCCAGTTCCAAAGGAAGTCTGGCAACTAGTCGACAGACTATATCGTCATGGAATTAAAACAGCTGGACTATTCCAAACTCCAGGACTTCATAGCGAAATTATAGCAATCAGAGATTGGTTAGATATTGGTAGTCAAGATGCAATGCGTATCCTTTACCTTACTTTATAAATAGTAGAATTAGCTAAATCTCAACTTTTTAAATATTTTCCTTAACAATAATCTCAGCTGGAGGTGTACACTCTGTAGCAGAGGCATTGTTGTTATTATTAGAATCAACAGCGGAGCCCTTAGTCCCATATAATCTCCATAACGTGTGTTTATCTGCAGCCACAAATTACTTACAGTGTAAACAAGTACGTAAGCAAAAAAGTTTTCTTGCAGAATTAACAATACAATTATTTCATTACTTATGTCAATAGATTGTGATGCAGCTACCTGAAATACGGAGAACCGTATTTCTTTACATTTGCTCATTTCTTCAGGAATTACTCAATCACACAGAAGAAAATGGTTTGGACGCTAAAACACTTGGTAATTTTACGATACTTGTTTTATTACTAATCTCCTGTACTGTTGCCTACAGCACTTTTGAAGAACAATACCTGTCTCATTTGTTTCCAGCAACCTTGTTCGGTTCAATCTTTTTAAGAGATCCTCCTAGAAGCCGGGACGATCGTCAATACAGAAGTCGATCGATTCAGGCAACTTTCGATAGAAAGAAGGCAGCATTCGTTTATCATTTTCTGGTGAACGATCAGAGTGACTTTATTCTAGGTCGGTAGTCATGAGTGTCGAAGATAAACAATGAAAATAAATTTACGAGCACGATATCAGGTATACATACACTACACATAGCTTCCCGAATGACATACTCCATAAAGCATCGTACGTACCGTCGTCAAATCGACGTAAAACTCGATCTTCATTAAATAATCGTAAATAAGTAAAAATAGTATGTCGTTTAACTTACGCTTTAGTAACGAAATATTAATATGCTTCGTTGTCAGATTCGTTTACATGCTATATGAAGACATCTGTTCAGCTGTCCATGTGTGGGCACTTTCGAGGAGCGGTGACGTTAGAACCGAAAGAAAATTTACAACTATTTCTCTCCTGCGTTTTTTTTTTATTCATCTAATTATTGAGTTAACCTTCCTTATAGGACACGGAAGACGTTTGGTTAAGTGTAGGTACCATTATTATAATTCAAAGAATAATGTACGAAAATGAAACAGGCGTAATGACGGCCGCGATAAGGATTTGACAGATCAGTTCGACATTATTCTTCTTAATGACAAGACTTTCGTGAATTTTAAAATCAGATGATCCGGCTTTCTCTTCGCGCAAAGGATTTGACTAAACCTAAATCTATCAAATTAGTTGAATACAATAGAAAAAAAATGGTTGTAGAAGTTTTCTCACTTGAAACGTCATCATTCCATGTATGTGTACATACACATACAGATTTAACTGAACTGGAGCCTAACAATGTATGATCTGATAGAGCTTAAGGGGATTTAATAATTAATGTCGCATGTTATCACAGATAACACATAAACACGTATAACCTTAAGAAATTATTCGGAACCAATTGACTGTTCTTAATAGCCAATGTAGTTTCATGACTTTGAGCCATCACGAATAATTCTCAGGTTGAAACTGTCTTTAGAACATTATCAAATGTTATTTGTGATACTTATACATTAGTATCCATTTGCCTTACAGCAACCCTCGTCTTTAGTTTTATAGCACTTTTATCTGAGCAAATATCGACGTAGACTTTAATCAGAAAGCTGATCAGTTGAGCGCAAGTTAAAATCGTATTTTACTCGGTTATTTAAAGAAAATTCATTTGAATTAACTCTGTAGATAAAACTGAGTATTTTTATAGTTTTATACAAATCTAGAAAGGACATTTCTTGATACAAATTTCTACCTGTTATTTAAAAGCTGTATTCTTTTTGCTGCTAGGGAAGCTCAGATAAATATCCAAAGTACAATCGTTCATTATTATAATTATAACAACTCATTACATTTAAATGTATTTTGTTAGGATTATTATATTCCGGGGATCACGAGATATCAGTCATTCAAACAGTTGCACGTTAGTCCGTTTACAAAAATACTATGCGTATTCTGCGATCATTTGATAGATCTATAACGTGTCACAGTGTTATCTCAGACACAATCTCGTGATCCAAGTACCTCAGTGATAGCGGATTAAAAAAATGAATGAGATTTTAGGTAAATTATACGTAATTATATTAGCGCCCCGAGATTTATCGTATTATTTAACAACACAGCCACCCCATTAAGTCATAATAGTGCCAATGAATATTAGACTATGCATATGAATATACTTCTTATTTTAGTACTTCTTACATGTGAATTACAACAAGTATATGTAGTAAGATATATTCGCGATATCACATGAATTATGCTTTATTCTTCATAATTGTTCTCAACTGTACGAGAACGCTAGTTATTTTAACGTGCAAAAAAATAATCTTTGTATATTGTCACCCATGTACCGATATTTATTAAACATTTGATATTTAGGAATACAGTTGTGTTGTTACTTACCACGGTTTAATTAGGTCTAACGTAATAAGTTGACGTACTATTTTATATGAAAACTTTATTAGATATTAGGAAAAAAGTAGCAAATATTTGGAACACAGTAAATTTTCTGACTGCCCATTACGCGGCAGTACTGATCGGAATACTTAAAACGTAAATCAACAATGATAGTAAAATTATAAACTAACGCTACATGAAATTATAATAAATCAATCACTGTGATCTCCATCACAATGATGGCGAGTGATATGTGTATAATAAATTTCATAGCCGAAATCAAAATACGCTCTGTTTAGCTGTAATTTGAATAAAATGTAATGTCGAGATCCTTAGAAAGTTTGACTACATGTCGAAAACTTGAGGGCTAACGAGGGTCGCCTGTGTAAAACAAAAGCGAAATACCCTGTTTAATAAACGAATAGAATCGATTAATATGCATAATGCACTGCAAAAAATGGCTACAGTCCGCAGATATTCTTTCCATATTTTCTATACTGCACTGCACGATAAGAAACAAAAAGAAAAGGAACAACCCCAGAATACACAAATAGACGATAATTTATACTAAAAAACTTTTTTCGATTATGAATACCACTGACGAGAGAAAAAACAATAATTCAGCTTGAAAACATCGAACAATGAAATAACCTTTGAAGCCATGAATTTTTGACGATTTTCATTAGTCTTACAAGACGTGGCGATTAATTATATACAAATGAAAAGTGCACCCTGTAAGTTCGGAAAGGATTTCAACCGGTCGAGTAATGTATCTTCTAAAACTGGAAGCCACCCTGAGGAGCGGCTTCGGCTGGTTGAAAATTCAACTGGCCCTCCTCTGTTACTGTGGCAGCAACGTTATGATCTTCGGCGTCCTATAGTGGAAGATAATAATTTACAGTTGAAAATTAATACATATTTTTCTTGAACTATGTGTTAAACTGTGGTACTTACGCCGTCCGAAAAGAAGGTGTCGATCATCGCCATAGCCTTTTGATAAACCTGTTCATTTTCATGCTGCTGCAAATTTTCTAACTTATCCAGTCCACCGACTTCCTCAACCATTATAGCGACTCTTTCAATTTCTCCCATCTTTTCTGCAGCAGTCAGGATATTGGTGATACCATCTAGCACGACGATAACAATTTTCCAATCCTTTGCTTCTAATAAATTGCAGAAGGGAGTCAAGACACCTAGTTGGACCAGTTGGGCAAGTTGTTGAACGGATCCACCGGATGTCAAGTTGGTTATTGCCCAGGCTGCTTCCTTCTGAGATTTGAAGTCTCCCTGAAATTTAAGATCTCGTTTAAATCTTTTATAACACGCGAATTAAAGTATTATTGTAAGATACCCACGGCTTGGAGAACTTGTATCAAAGGTGGTAATAACCCAGCATTAATAACATGCTGGATTTGTTCAGCATTTCCAGCAGTGACATTACTGATGGTCCATGCAGCTTCCTTTACTATATTAAGTTTTTTGTGCTGCAATAATCTGCCCAAGTGTTGCAATCCTCCTGCAGTAATTATTGCATCCGTTTGCACGTCATCTCCTGTGACGATGTTTCCAACAGCTCGTAACGCTGGTGTCAATACTGTGACTTCATTATGAGTCAGTAATTCCGCTAACTTGGGAACAACACCGGATTCAACGACTGCTTGAATTTTATCATTGGAGCCATCCGTCAAATATGATAAAGCCCAACATGCATCAGCTGCAATAGAAAATAATTTTATTACAATTGCTGTTCTAGATCCTACATGTTTTTTCCCGGCAAAAAAAAACGAGGACAATAAATATTACCGAGAATGTCGGTGTCCGTATTATTCAGTAGACGATTCAATACTGGTAGAGCAGCCTTGACACTCTCAAATGGCGGCGGAGGATTTTTGTTGCGGCAAAGATTCGATAAGGTCCACACAATATTACGAGCGAATGTTACCTAAATGTATGAGAACCATGTCAATGCTAAACCTATAATCAATTGAAGTAAAATGAAAGCGCATTAAACTATATCCTACCGATGTATCCGGCTTAATCAATTCTAAGAGAAGGGGCATTGCATCGTAGCCGAGAACCAAATCTCGTGGCCCTGGTCCATCACCTGCAATATTACCCAAAGCCCATACTGCCTGTTCAGCCACGTTAGAGGATGATGATTTTAGTAGAGCTACTAGTTTGGGAACAGCACCATGCTTTACAACTACATTGGTCTGCTCTGATGTACCAGAAGCTACATTGGTTAAAGCCCAAGCAGCTTCGAATTGAAGTGCCGCGCTATAAAACAACAGATATTAGGTAATGTTTAAAAGTTCTGTGATAAATATTTAATTTAAAAAATAATTTTGTACTTGTGATGATAGCTTAAAAATTCAATACAGCGAGGCACTATGCCTTGTTGAATCATATTGTCTATTGGTGGATTTTTCTCCTGGCTGAGCATCTTTCTACAAGCTTGTGTAGCTTGCAGCTGAATAGGTTCAACAGTAGAGTTCATCCCAGAAATAATCTCATCAATGGTCATAGATACTGATGTTTTTGATCTGCTATCCCCAGGGGGACTAACTACTTCCTCGTGTATATTAAGATTACGACGTTTAAGCAATTGATCATCTTTTTTAGCTTTACGCAGTTCCACAGACACTTCAGTTCTTCTCCGTCGAGCATCCTGAACACATTAATTACAGTGATGAGGATCGTGATATACAGATCAATATTCAAAATACTTACTTCGTGCTTGCCATGGAATTTAAATTTGGAAATGCGGCTGTGATGAACAGCTTCTGGTGCTGGCATTTTGACTGAAAACAAATTATTCTATTACACAAAAGTTATCTGTACTTAAAACCTACTTAGTACACTGATCAATAGCAAAGGTTATCAAATAATTATTTTTCAAAAAATAACGAGATACAACAAACAGCTAAATATTAGCGGCAGTTATTTGCTCTAATCTCGTGACATTCGCCAAGAACAGTATAACAATATTTTTTTTGTAAGTGCCATGCTTTGTTTAAGAAACATTACTTCAAGTTTGTCACCTAATTGGTTCTTTATTTAAGCAACTTTTTAGTTTTCTTTAAGTTATCCACAAACAATAATCAAGCTCAAAAATTAAATTCTCTTTAAAGCCACATATATCAAAATTACAGAATGCTTTGTATTCATAAACTCGTGGTCCTGCACAACAGTTTCTCGATTCTGTTCTAGTTGTTTCCAAGTCACAATAAAATATTACAATTTAATATCTACACGCATTTGTATATATCTGTATCATAAAGATAATCTTTCATACAAATGTCTCTTAAAAATACTTACGTGAGGATTATGAATTGCTTATAAAATCAGATTCCAATAAGCGATGTACCGCGGCCCGCGCGACAAGTGTGCAATGGCTGGCAGCAGATCTCCCTATTTTCAGACCTGTTGATCAAGAATAAAAATTGAATCCCTGACAACCAATAAGGATTTAGGCTCCCCTAATGTAAAGTATTATACCGTCTCTTCATTGGTTCTGTGAGGTTGTATCCAACGCCATTGGTACACATGGTTCTAACGTTTTCTGATTTTGAATATCCTCGGTTTATGTCTTATTTTAAAAAACTCAATGGCTGCGTTGGCATTATAGAACATGTGTTCTAGCACTGACGTATGGAGTTTTTTAAAATTGGCATGATATAATTATGCATACTTTTATGGTAGTATGGTAGAATTATGCTAGAAAATTGAAAGAGCTCAATCAGCTGCGTTTGCTGGCTAAAAACAAAATTTCTTTACCGTTTAGTTAAGGTAATATGGTAGAACAAGGCTCTACACTTTTTTATGCTCAATCAAAAGAACTCAGTGTCCTGCACCAATTCGCCCAAACAAAATTATTTTTACCGACTAGTTTAGGAGATATTCAGTAGTTTCCAATTATGTACTTGTGTAAACTTATGTCGATATAAAGCGATATTATTCGTTATTTCCCAAATATTCTGTTGGAGCCAGCGAATAGCGAGACTCGTGTCAATAAAAGTCGACATAGATAGCAGTTGCGATCATAGGGCATAGGGAGTCTGTACTTATTACGTCTATGGGTGGTTGCAACCACGCTCCATCTTTTTCAGACAATAGCGGACATATTTCGTCGACTAATGACATAGGGAATGCACAGTCCATTCTCTATATCGATATCTTCCACATGTTCTTACTTCATCTGTATCATGGTAGTGGGCATCTCGGTACTCATCTCTGATGAAAATCGACTTATTGGCAATCTCCCTACTTATTTCTGTTATGGACTGGCACATTTCCTCATTGGAGGAGGCTAGCAGAAGCAGCCATAAGGAACGGAAGGATCTCTGTGTGACAGAGACCAGTAGATTGTTCAATATTTGTATTCTTTAGTTAGAACCCTTATCGTGATTGTAGACAATGATAAATATGTTTTTGGCAACTACTTCGCGCATTATGTCTAGATACAGAATTTCCGCCAAATATACGAGGCAGATGGTAGGAAAAAAGTAAAGATATGCGATTAACATTTGAATATATGATTTTTGCAGTTTCTTAAAATGTTTCTAGTCCTTCATTCCTCGTAGAACATTGCTATATGTTCCTGGTTGCGATGAACGTAAAATACAAAAGGCTCGTTCCCTTGATGCTGATTTAATTGCATTAGATTGTGAGGATGGAGTTGCTATTAATCAAAAGGTATAGAATATGCCGTCACGGTATAGTAGATAATAAAATGTATGTCTTGTCAGGGAAGTGCAAGACAAAAAATACGAGAGCTGCTAGATTTAGGAGAATTTCCTAAATCTCGTCCTGAATGGGGTGTACGAGTAAATTCAGTAAGCTCAGGACTCTGCGATGAAGACTTAAAAGTTATTCTAGGTGGAAAAAATCAACCACCTTGTATACTATTACCAAAGCTAGATACTGTTGAGGAAATCATTTGGGTACTATTTTCTCATTTTAGGATTACAAGTTGATATTCTATGACTATTATATGTATGTAATGATTAACATAATGTTTCTAAGTTTTCAGATACTGTCAAAAAATTATTCCATAATAATAATAATACCATAAATTTAATAGTATTTAGTGAAACATCAATCAGTATGATGAATTTACCAAGTATTGTTCAAGCTGTTATTGATGCTCAGACAAATACTTGTATTAAATTGGTTGCCCTCGTAGTTGGCAGCGATGATTATGTTGCTGATATTGGTTAGCAGTTAATTTGATTGAGAACTAATTTATATTTACTTATAAATAGTAGAATAAGTAGTAACAATTAAAACTGTTATAGGTGCAACAAGAACAAAAGATTGTTCAGAAATATTATATGCTAGACAAAGATTAGTAATGGTTGCAAAAGCATTTGGATTACAAGCTATTGACATGGTTCATATAGATTTGCAAGGTATCTTCTTCATTAAATTATAGCAGAATGTTGAATTAATATTTGAATGTGTTATTCCAACAGATTTAGAAGGTTTGCAAATAACATCTGAACAAGGTGCTTCCTGGGGCTTTACTGGGCGTCAAATTATACATCCATCTCAGGTGAGCATCGTACACAAAGCATATAGTCCTACACAGAAAAAAGTTGATTGGGCTAGTAAACTAATTGATGCTTTCGATGCTCACCAAAAATTAGGCAAGGTTTGTGGCTCTTACATAAATTATGCTTATATCACTTGTCGGAATTACACTAGTTCTATGAATTTTCAGGGTGCATTTGTTTTTGAGAATCAAATGATTGACATGCCAACTTTAAAACAAGCTCAAAATATTGTTACTTTAGCAAATCTTACTCTGCACCATAAGGACTAATTATATATACTTCTTGGTACATGGGAAAGGAATTTAAAAAACTGTATTGCACAATAAAATTTTGTCAACTATTTTATTTATCGTCGTTATAAATATATTAAATGTTGTATAACAAACAGGTTCACGTTAATATTACGTTTTACAAATGGTTAAACACAATTGTAAACTGTTTATAGATAAGTACTATACAAGTTATTTGCAATACGTATAAGAAAAAGCTTATGTATAAGCTGTATAAATTGTGTATGTTTCAACATACAATACTAAGCTTCTCTTCATTGCTACATATACAATGAAAAAAAATACCCTTAGGTCGAAGTAGTATGTGTAAAAGCGCGTTGAATTCTTTTAACAAATGCATCAAATAGTTATGAATAAATAATTTCTCATAATGAAAAACATCAATCCAATCAAGACGATCTATAGTACAACTTTTCAAAAGATATTTGTCAATCAAATTTACCAAAACTAAGTTGAATTAAAAAAATATTGTTACAAATGTCCATAAGGCACTTTCTTGAACGTTATATGAGGTCATCTAATTACAACGTAAAGCATATCACGTGAAATAGAAAAAAATACACGAAATTGTGCTTACATTTGTGTGACATACTTTGTACAGCAAAAATAATATGTTGGAAATTGGTCATGTTTTATATGCGAATCATAACTACCATAATTTCTCATAAAAAATTACATTACGATTTGCATAAAAAAATATTTATCATACTAATGTGAACCAACTAGACAGTTTGCATTGAACTTTGGAATTCTTCATTCAGTGTTCAGATCGTTCATTCAAGGCCCAGTTTTTGGGTGAAACTAAAAAAGTAGATCTTGAAGATGTTTTAATTTGTAAGCTGATAACAAAGAAATTATCTCGTCTATGCAAGATCTACACAGATAATACGTTAAAGAACTTTTTGAATTATATCTATACTTCGTGAAGGATTTAATTGTCCAAGATTCAATGCAGTTTCGATCACCATTATGGAAATTTTAAAGATGCCAACCTCAATTAAATATGCTTCTTACTTGACGCAAGTTTGAACAGTTTTTTTAACAGCATCTCGGGCATAGGGAATATAGGAGATGGAGTACCATGTCATAGCTAATGACTGAAAAATAATAAACAAGAGAGCCAACCCAGCCTTTTTCAGCTGAAAAAATAAATATTAAGTATATAATTTGTTGCCTCACAAAAATTAACGTAATGAATGTTTTTTGTCACTCTTACCTTGATGGCGCTAAATAATGTCAGTGCAATAAAGACTAATACAAGAATTGTCGCAATTATTCTTGTTGTAGCAAACATTTTCTTTATTTGATTAACTGGTCCCATCAAGAAACATGTGCTGCAAATCATTAAACGACACATGAAAAAAATTATTTATCTGGTCTGCCGTCTTTTCTATCTAAATTGTATGTAATAGACTTAATTTAATTAGCATAGTGATAAGGTTTTTTAACAAATGCTAGAATGTCTCTTTATAGTAATTAAAAAATTACCTCGCTAGTGCTATAATATTTCCTAATGTGTAAAAGACAGCAAAGACATTTAATCCTTGTCTTAAGAATAAAGCAAATGAACCCAATATTGAAAGAAGGATTCCAATAACAAAACAAATCGCAAAGCCTTTTATCCTGGTTGACCAGCTGAGTGTTGATGAATCCATAACCTGCAAATACATTATTCAATTAAATATATTATTCTTCTCATTAATTCTCTTATAATAAATAATATGAGCATTTCATATACTGTAAATTTAAACTCCGAATCGTAACTCACCACAAAATCAATATCCGACTGCCAGCATTAATAATAATGAGTGAAGAAATGTAATTTTTCATATTGCATATAAAATATAATATGTACTAATATATATGTTTATATAATATAAAATGAAAAGTTACCTGTGTTATAATACCACTCTCTTCATCGCATTGGTCATTGCCGCTGAGGGCTCTTCTTAATTTCTCCATCATACCAAAGTCTATAGCATACAAAGGATACAACTGTTACTTATAACAAAAATACTAATGCATATGGCACTGATTGAAAACACGTCTAAACGAAGAGTGTGTATCCCAAATACCAGATGAGTCGTTTCAAATTACAAAGAGATAAGTCATCACATTTTGGAGCAATCATTATAATTGTTGCAAGGAAAAAACAAAAGTACGCATTTGAGTAAATGATTATGAATTCTCTTTAATTACCAAATAAAAGTAACAATACTTTGACTACAACGTTAAACTGTAATATTTTTCAAATTGCACATGACGTTTACGATATCCGTTTTGATTCTTGATGCGTAATATTGACTATAACCAATTTTATGCTTATGGTATGTTAGTACCTTACGTAGAAATTCATTTTTAATAAAATTATTCTTTTATAATACATAATTTAAAATATATCAATAAGAAACGTTTACTGATTAAAGTATTATTATTTCTTCAATTTAATTCACTGGGCGCCGTTACAAGTTAGTCGATAATATGTGATAATATCAAATAATAGGACAACGTATAAACAATTTACGCTGAGAAATACTGCAAACATACAATTAAAATATGTTACAGAAATATATATAAAAAAAAAAGCTAAATGCATTCTTACATATTCATTACCTTATGAAGAACGTTTTACACTTTTGATGACACACACGACCGAAAACACGATACAGACGTTAGCTAACTTCAGATTATTTCACACTACCTTGAAGTTGGCCGTAAGGTGGGAAAATTCAAGACTAGATAAACGGATAAAGACGTTTCGAGAATAAAACAATTCGAAACAAATCCTTTCATAAAAAAAATGAACATCTTAAAGTCCTTAATTCAATTTCCTTGGCCTGAAAGGTCCTTCCTGTACCACAAAAATGGAGTAAACAGGTAACAGAACAATTTGAAAACAAATTATGATGTAGGTAGGTTGAAACAGAAGCACGTAATGTTTTAAGATTTTTTTATTGAATGTTTCTAATCGTTATCGGGAAACATTGTTGTGTCTGCCATAAATATTATAAACTGGTCTTTGTGTATTAAAATTTTTCATGTGAACGTAACCAATAACATTATTGTTGCGTTATGTGTACATTATCTCGGCAGAGGAGTTATAACGATTCAGATACACGAGGACCATTATTCTCATCCATACTATAACGCAGACTTTTGGACCATATGCGATTATTTCTACAGTTTTGAATCGTCAAACGTTCCTTGGTGCACAATAAGATCAAATTATAGGCCACCTAACGATAGATAGATAGGTATATAACTCTAACGTCAGAGAGATCTATAGAAAACTGGAGTAGCACTGAAGTATCGCAAGTAAGCTGAAGTTAGTCGCATTTTGTTAACTTTCAATCCGCAATTAAATACAATTTATATAATCCCACGTACTTCTCTTCCGTTCAAAATGATCCTCTCCTATAATAACATTATGCCTATCTTTATAAATAAAATTGTGAGGCGTATTACGTACGTCAACAATTTTTTAAATTATGCTTCTTCATCCAGGTGATTCCTATTGTAGTTTTGAATTATTGAAAATAACGTTGCTTCAACTAACTTCGATGCGTTCGTTAACGAGGACATTGTTTATTACAAAATCAATATTTCAGCATGGAAATCGTGTGTCAAAATGACCATGTTACATGAAAAATATATGTCTCTATATTTGACTTATATATTAATTATCGAATAAGATTTGGTCAAATCAAAAAAGATAATGCACATATATAAATGGTACTGAATGAATACGAAAATAAATGGGGCGACTATTTTACTTAATTATCACGAATTGCAGAAATTTTTTGTTCTGTACTGATCAATGTCCGAATATGATTCTCCAGTTAACTATAAAGCTCAATGAATCTTATAAACCAAGACCTTGTAACGTTTTCTTTAGAATATTAGGTATAGGTATAGGTAGATATTGCCTATGTACACTCGCAACGAGGTTGCGCAATGCTACTTCTTGGCAATCCTAAGTAAAGCTTATAATTTGAATAAACTTTTTTTAGGTAGTTAGGTCTTTAATAGGTAGCTAATAGTACTATTAGAGAATTAACAGTACAGCGTTTCTGGTGTACTAGTTACAATCCTTTAGTCATCATATACACATTTTTTATTTTCTAGGATAAGGTATTTTCATACGCCCCACGTATGTTTTGGTTCTGAGAAATAATTAAGATAATCATTTTACTGTTATAACTGGCCAATAAGTATCTGCCACTTTTCTTATATTATTAATCTATTTGTCATATATACAAATAATATACAATAGTCGCACTTAATATAAGTAATATTAAAATCTAACTTCAATGATGTTTATAGTTAATTGTATGAATAGAAACTTGACCGCATCTAATTTTTTCGTCGTGCGTTAGCACAGCGCGTTATAATATAAATACATTTTTATATAAAATTTGTATAATCTACATGAATCACTTTAAGTATATCTCCTCTTTTAATCACAAAAGATATAAATGTAATAACTACTATGCAAGCAGGGGAGTGGTGAAGGGGAGCGGGAAGGGGAGTCGCCGTGGGCGGTGCCACTCTGGCAGTATCCTCTTTTTTTTTATTTTCATTTAGGTAGGCACATCTGATTTCGTTTAAATCAAACGAAAAATCAGCTTACTGAATTGTTTGTGCGAAATTATCAATGCCGAGCCTATTTTCACATATAGAAATAATATTTTTCGTTGCAACAATGTCGCAGATATTCAATTAGATAACAGCGCCCGTACACTCAATTATCATTAGCTCATATTAAATTTTTATGGTCATTCAAGTATCGCGTAGAAGCCTCAGTTTAGAAACGAAAATAATAACGCGTACAAAGATCCATTTTAATTTATAGTGGTTCTAGTAGGATCGTGCAGAATTAGATTGCTCTTTCGATGCAGGACAAGCAATATCCTATTGTCCCCGTAAAGTTGTTATTTTCTAATGCCCAAAAGTTCTAGTACCACGTAATTTCAGCGGTGGGAGGACTCAAAACAATAGATCCGTGACTGTGCAATTATATCGTCCAACGTCGACAATAAGACTAGCCAGATTCACAGAAAAGGCATTCCTGTAATACGGATATCCTTATATATTATTCGCGTTTGCGCAAAGGTCATCGTAGGTATTGAACTTAAATTAAGTTAAACTCGTTTATCACTTTTCGAACGTGTCACATCGTTTAACAGGAGTTACTAGTCATGGCCGCGTCGTAAATGAGCAACGTAACGCCGACTTAAATAATTTTTGTAATCATTAAAATGCGAATAATACTAATTGAAGAATGTACAAAAGAATAATAATCCACGCATTCGGACTATCCATATGTAAAAATAAGCTCAATATACCCAAATAAATGGTGATGTATCTCCAGAGGTCTTAAGTTACCGAGACATCGTGTCGAGATATTTTTATGTTTTCTGATACATCAAAGTCAACGTAATATACAGTAATAATACTGGTTCAATTAATTTCAGTTCCATTATAAAATAGTATACCATTGTAATTTTGATAGATTGACGTACGAGACATAGTAATAGAAGCATCTATGATGATGCGTGTACAGAAAATAAAAAGTAAAGGATATTACAAAGATCATAGTCTTTTTTTTTTCGAAACTTTTTCAACCCCAAAGAAACAGTGGATTATTTTTTAATAGGTGTCATCGGTGACGTGTCGCTAATTATCAATCGATAAAATGATACAAGGCATAAAGAATAATCCAGTGCCATAAACTTCTAAACTCGGCAGATACATCATTACTTGCACTTGCTTTTATTTGTCCAGTGTGAAGCCCGATAGCCCCTAGATTAATCGTCTCCACGTGTCACTAATTAATCTCCTAAAGGAAAGGAACACTATATGCGCTATATCCATCAATAAGCAAGGTGGTTTACAACAGATGAATATCTTACCGTACTTACTTTTAATTGAAACTTATTTACAAAAAGATGCTGTACAGTACTAGTTTCTTGTGATGTAGGTCCGTCATAGCCTTGAATGCGAGTAGACCGTTTTTCAATTAAAGACCATAGCACAGGGAATATTTGACACCGCATAGGGAATACATAAAACGTTATTAAAAACTTTTGCGAGGACGACCTTCCGGAGTCGCGCGAAAGACATACGTTCGTATCCGACAGTGAAATATTGTCCGTGCATTAGGTCTTTGCAAGCGAGCACTAACAGGACATGGTGCCGTGCCATCGATAGAGGTCATTAATCTATATCTAATATGCCCTAACTTCATCAATAGGAATATTACAATTAGAGCTAAGATTGTTTGTACCATTGTTTAGGTGAGAGCACCCACAGTGACCCCATTCATTTCCTTTAGATCCCTCACTACAAATATCCTCGTCGCTACATTAGGAACGCTTTGCAGTAAGTTGCTGACTTGGCGGTCACTTTGACCCCAACTTCGGGGCTGTAATTTGATTATTCCTTTGCAAGGTAAATTAGCCGCAGGCTTTTATTCAAAGAGCGCTAGTATATCATCGCTCGATGATGGGTTGCCGCTGCTTGCCCCGCTGCTTGGTGGGGTGTTTAGATCAGGAGGATCTAAATACGAGAGTAATTCCATCGGATCCACAACATTGTCCGGCAGTAGCTGTAATGGAAAACGCGTGTGTAAGAACGATACCTCATTTTGACAGCGTCAGAGTGTCTCGTACTTTTCCAGCGCGGACGGAAGGTAGAGCTGGAGCTGAGCCATGTCCACGGATACAGAAGACGAACAATATATTTTTCATAGGTACTTACGTTCAATGCTTCCTGGCCCGTGCCTTCCCCATCGATTACGGCCGCTGGATCGAAATTCAAGTCGGAAGGTATGTCCGCCGTATCGTTATTTATGTTTGTACTCGTATTGCCGGAGGTGTTATGGTTGCCAGTGGATTCTTGGGAAGCCGGAGGTACGCTAGGTGGGCCACTGTTCCCTCCGCCAGGCGTATGGGGTGTGTGAGGTGTGTGTGGCGTGTGAGGTGTATGCGGCATCTGGAATAAAGAAATAAAACACCTTTGTGAGCACGGTTCACACCATAAAAGAAAAATAAAACAGAAAAGATTCGTGAATTTACAGCGGCAAAAGATGGTTTTCGTATTCAATAGAAAAATACGTACCTGATCGTTCAAGGATTTCTCCATGGCATTTAGAGGGTCCAGAGAGTTAACGGAATCGTTCAGATGGGACAAAGGTCCAGCTCCGGTGGTATAATCGGTACTTCCGCTGGTGTTCGTCCCGGAGTTGATGTCGTACGTTCCTCCGGAGGAATTTCGATGGTTTATGTTGTTGTTACCATAAGCAGGTGGTGTGTTGTTCATCATAGATCCACTAACGATGCTGTTCATATCAGGTGGTATATATGGACTCATCGCCTGGTTCATATCCCAATTGTTCATTGTCGGCATGTTCATGCTACCAGGTGACATGGCCTTGGTCATTCTCTTGCAATCGCTCTCTTCCTCGGACTTGATGCCGGCTAGATTCTTAGCGGGTTTCCAATTGGCCGCTGAGTCTATCGTCACCTCTTCCACTTCTGCCGTATTTAGCGTGGTGTTGAGGATTCCCCACATGTACTGGTCAACTTCTAAACCTTCCAATTGGGCAGGTTTCCTGATGACATGTATAACTTACGGTTAGGACAGGTCGGGAGTGAATTTTTTAAAGGAAAACTTTTGATCGTTTTTTACTTACGTGCATACAGGACACCTCCAAGACCCTCGTTCACAATTTAACTGCAGATACGATTCTAAGTCGAAGCATTGTATATGCTTGCAATCATGCCCTCGTGCTGGCAGTGTGATACGTTTGAAGGTAATAGGACATTTTAAAGATACCTAAGAGAATATTTAAAATAATTACTCGCTCACTTTTTTAGTTTATACAAAAGACAGTCGTGAACCCTTTGACGTTTACCTTTAGTGCTGTTTGCTCCACTACGTCTTTCTCCGTCTGCATCCCATTATTAGACATCGTATTATTAAAGTTTCGTTTGATCTTAGTTATACAATGCTCTGCTGGGAGCAGCCTCTTACGCAATAATCCTTGCAGTACGCTCCTTACGCTTGGTCGGTGGACTAATTGAAGGACGAATAGATGTGACTGTAAGTAAGAATGTTGTTTTTTAAAACTCTTCATACCACGGACTTCATATCATAATTGAAATAATTCGTCGAAAACAAGGGATCCGAGTCAGCCTAATTATAGGCTTAGACTTTGGAATATTCATACTTACACAACAGCACGTCGCAACTGTGATCTGGATGGTATTACGTCCTGGTTGACATACGTCCTTCAGATAAAGGGGTTTATGGGACGTTTTGTTTTCACCTCGGTCAATAACGAGAGGCGTCGCATTGACAGATACTTGGACGCTTGCTGGCCAATTGGTGTTCATCTGTCTGTCCTCATGATGAAAACACTTTAACTGGAGTTCCAGATCCGATCGCCACATTAACGTCTGATGGACCGTGGATTTCAGTTGGAATACATGATTACTGACAGCCAAATTGTGCTCTAGACGGAAGGGTGGAAGAATAATGCCATCCCTCACAGGGAATGTTAATCTCAACTCGTCGTCTTCTGCAAGTGAAAGAAGAGCAGGCGTTAAGTTCGAGCCCTGAACCAATGCGCACTCAGAGAACATTTCCAAGAACAACTACTTACTCTGAATATTGACCGGCGACTTGATTTCATTGAAGTTTGGTTTAATGTCCGGATTTGGACTTATGTAAGGAGGCATGCTAGTGGCGGGAGTCAACGGAGGAGTTGGGTTACCAGGAATAGGACTATGCTGGTAGCTCATGTTTCCTGCTCCTGCCGTTCTCATTGTCGAGACATCCTGCTGATATTGGCTGGTGGCAGCGTACGACGACGTACCACCGTATCCCGTATTCTGCTGGTGACCAACAAACTGGTTTCCAACGGTGGTTGGCCCCATACTCACAGGTACGCCGTTGCTACTGTAATACTGGCTAGCTTGCGACGGTGCATTGTAGGACGGAGTAGTTTGCCTCATGTTTGTCCCACGGATCATGGAGTTGGGCCCAAAGCCAGTTGCAGCAGGATTCATACTCTGTATTGGTTGATACTGGGGTTGAAAGTTTGGTCTAGCAGCAGGATAGTTATTAGGATATTGATTGGCTGGCATATTATTGAATCCAGGCTGCATCGTTGCAGGATTTGGTCCAACGTAAGGACCTTGTTGCCTCTTCTGCGCCATATGCATCGCTGGGTTAGGATACGGTGCTAATCTTCGTGGATAACCCTGCTGCGGTTGTGCCTAAACGGACAAAGAAAACCGTGATTTAATTTCGTTGGTACTGGCATGTTTTTCTCAAGTCAATCTTGATATTCTTCAGGAATATCCAGAGAAAATAATTATCGGGTAGTTACCTGAATGCTCATTTTATTCATCTGCATGTTATTAGGTCCCATCATGTTGTTCATTCCCACCATGTTGCCCATGTTACTCATACCGTTCATGGGATTCATTCCGTTCATACCATTCATACCGTTCATGCCTCCCATGGTCATAGGATTCATAGAGTTCATACTGCTCATACTGTTCATCGAATTCATAGAATTCATAGAGTGCATCGGGCCCATAGAGCCCATGCTATTAAAATTGCTCATCCCAACTGGCCCCATTCCCGCCATTGGTCCTCTTTGGGCATACCCTGTATTATATGCTTGATGGGGTATTCCATGTTGACTTTGCATCTGTAAGAAAAAAGTTAGGTTAGAATCTCATTGACTTATCTGCACCACAACAGAATTATTTGAGAGTGTTCCTATGAGTATCTCTTGGTTCGCTACGGCCTACGGAATGGGATTAGGATTTCTGCGTAGTTCGGCAAGCTGTTTATTCCCTATCGTTATACAAAACTATTCTGAGCACACCATTCATATCCAAAAGATCTCCGTATCTAAACAGCCGTCATGCATCTGAATCTTGAAGCGTGGTTAAAAAATTCAAAGATGAATTAAATGAAATTTCACATCACCTACAGTTCTCTAATATCGATATATCTCTATTTCTAGATACACGCAACAACAAATTCCACGTCATACCTGATTGAACTGCGTGGGGATATCTTGGCGGTCCTGCATGGCCACCACGCTGGCTGTGGCGGTGGCCGTAGCAGTGGCGGCTGCCACCATCGCCGCGGCGCTAAGCGTCGAACCACCACCCCCACTATGGGGTGGCACCGTGTTATGGTAGCCTGATGATAACACGGGCTGCACCCCCACACCGATGGCCGCCGTTGTTAATGATGTTGTTGACACCGGCGTGGAAGAAGATGGTGATGATAGCCCTAACGTAGATTCAGTGACGGTCAACGGGGTCCTGAAAGCAAGAATCGGACACTGATTAGACGGCAATCGAAAACGTCAAGATAAATTGTATTTATCTGCTAGTGTGACGGGAAAGGTCACACGAGGAGATAGAATTTTAATACCATTAAGAATGTTAGCATAATCCCGAATTATAATTTTCGAATTCGCGTAGCATTAAGATCAGCGAATGTGGGTGGCTCATAGACGAACCTAAATATGTAGAATTATCATTGGCATTTATTTATACCGCTTGCGAGAAACGGGATAGACGATTAACTATCAGGCGGTGTCCTCTATTAAATTCGATTATGTCACTATGAGCAATTGGAGAGAAAACGTTATAGTGTTATAAATTGAGAAGAACGCGCGAGGGGTTCTACACTCTATTTGTATGCATACGCAGGGAACTGCCAAAACCGTTTTGCAAGAGCTTGAACGGCATTTAAAGCGGTCTTATATGGTTAGCTAGATACACGCAGAGGAACACAGGCTCGACTGTCTTTAAATAGCAAACGCAGCGAGATATAACGTACGACTACGTTGAAAGACTCTTGAGATTATTCTCGAGTCTCGTGAGTCACGTTATTAATTCTCAGAGATATTTCAAAGGCGTCTTTACATTTTTCTATTTAAATTATAGTATAACGTAACGCGTTACAACGCTACGCAGTCGATCGGTTTTGCCGTTCGAAATCAAAGCACTGACGGACAACGCATATATAGTATAAACTATCACGAGGCGAAACACGAGTTTGTGATTGCTTTACGCAGAGGCAAGGAATGAGTAAATAAAAAAAAAAAAATAAAAAAAAAAAAACTGACCAGGCCGACGGTGACCAGATATTCTAGTTCCGTTCAGCGAGATCTGCTACGCCTATAATAGAATTTTAAAAAAGCACAGAAACGTGCGAAGTACGATGGAGTAGCCAATATCGAGTATTCCTAGTCCAATATTTATACTCCCATTTTCTCGTCAAAAATACCTCACGGAAAACATCGTCCCACGGTTTCCACCGGCGTGCCGAATCGGCGGAGTGTTGAACGGGCTGCCACGGCGAACCCCTATTTTCAGAATACCGCGAACGTCGAGTTCTATTAAAGCGATCAGAAGGGTATCGTTGAAACAGATCGAAAAGCGAGTCGATGTTTTACGTGAAAGCCAAAAATATGAGAAAAGAAGCGTGGAAAAAAAATCGTAAAAATATTCATCTCTTTAACCCTTTCAGGTCGACCCGGAAGCGCTACGAGTACCACAAAGAGGCTACTGTCACCCCAGGAACAAGAGACCTTACCGAACGTGGTCCCATCCCCGTGCGAGAGATGCCGATTGTCGCAAGGAGGCAAACCTTATACCGTACAGGGTTCACGGAAAAATGACAGTACCCCTGAAGTGCGTGCTGCCAATCGTTACAGCCTTCATCCCCTGCTCATACGAAAGGCGACGACGTCCCACCGTGAATCCCTGGCGCGGCCGATGCTCTCGGTCCCGCAGCAGCGCCGGCAGTGCCCGCCCGACCCACCGTTCGTTCCCAGCTGGCCACGCTCGCCGAAGCCCCCATTGCTTTTCTGTGGGAAATGCACGTGCTCGCTATTCACACACCGTGTATATAATACATGCCTACCGCGCGCTACCAACACGCTAACAGAATAGGATGGAATCGCAGTCCGCCCGACGTACCGTACACTGCTGTATACATATACGTAACGTTTCCACACAACGCTGACGTATTGTACGCGCACACGTGAACGCACGTTACACGCTCGCGCATCCTTACGTATTACCCCGGAATAAGAGAGAAAGAGATGAAAGAGAGCGAGGGAGCTTTGTTCGAGGAGCGACAGCCCTGGCGGAGTCAACCCTTTCCGACTTTATTTTACGTCCCTGGTACTGGGACACGGAATCGTAGACTGAATTCATATATATAAAGTAAGGCATACAACCACGTACATGAAAAATACGTTGCTATGCACCGGTATAACGTGGTAAAGCGTGAAACGGTTTATTGTATCCTCAAGAACGGAAGGACAGTGCGTGCATAAGCGTAACTACCCGTGCATCACTTAATTTCAGTAGACACGTTCGAACCATCCGGTCCGAAATTTTCGGATGCTCGCGTTACCCTGGTTATATGCCTATAGACACTAATTTGTCGTGCGGTAACGAAATTCCATTGGCGACACGACCAAGAGTAGCAGAAGGAGTAAGTACTGTACGGAATGATAAAATAATCTACGATTCACGTGACCCTGGCGGGTTATATCGGTCTGAATATAAAGTATCTTGATATATTAATATACGCCATCGTTAAAATCAAAGTAAAAAGTATACCGGGTAGCACTGCGACAAAGTGAGTTCTTGGACGCTGCCGAAGAACGAAACGACAGTTACCGGCATAACGAAGTGAGGAGAAACAGAGCGCAGCCATAGGTAGGTTTCTCTCCGTAAGTTCCTTTTGTCCGTCAATTCGATTACGTTGTAATGAACAAAAACTTATTTCGAATAATAGCCTCTCGAGTAAATTCAATATCACGATACAGCACTCGTCGAGTATACAGAAGTTGACGTCATCCTCGGGGAGAGTCCAGCACCCCCCTTTAAATTCATGCTCGATGCAACTAGCTAACCTAACCTAACCTCTAACTTTCCCCTTAGTCTCCGCATCCTCCCATGCTCCCCCCTATATTTTTTTTCCACCAGTCCCCTTCGATGCTTCGAGCCCCCCTCGGCGTCCCTGACCCCGCGCGGTTCCTCTACCCAGCAGCCCCTAACCAAGTGAGCCCGCTATGGGCTTCTATTCTTGGATGTCAATATTTCGTCAACCAGAGGCCCACTCGGCAGACAACAAAGGCGCTGCTGCCAGCTTGCATTTAGCGTGAGAGAGCTTGTAAATTATTGTCGATGATAGGACAAAGACGTATCGGCGCCTACGGTAGATTGACGGGACTGTACCGCGAGCTAAAAATCCTTGTACGAGATAAATCGACTCATGGCCGTTGCGATGTAGTCGCGTCCTCAACTGGGAGACAGAAAGACCGATTCACTCGCCTCTCGTCACCGCGCCGATCTCTGAACTCGATTCCGAGACATCGTCAGACGCGGAGCACCTGATTGCTCGACGACGGATGACTCGAAGACATTCATGAAATTAGGACGTGCGCTCGGACGTAAACTTTTTACTAGACTCTTTTAGTAGTCGCGTGAAACAAAAGACGTCGTATAGTGCCTACGTGGCACGTGACGCCAGTCGTGAGCCGATAGAAGAATTTCTTCGATTGAAAAGAGAAAAAATAAGCTATCGAAACAAAGATGCACGCGAGTACGTTTAGACAACACGATACGGAGTACGGACCGCTACCGATATATATATATATACTCGTACGATGTCAGCGATTATTTATCGCGTTTTGCCAGGCACTCTGAAAGATTCCATCGTAACGTAAGTAGAGCCTCGCGGCATTTGGAGTCATTCGATTTTTCCAGAATCAGTCGGAAGGTTGAGCGCGGGCGCGTATACGAGGCTGGACATAAAGATAACCGCTATATATGTATGTCAGTATAAGAGAACGTGTAAGAAGGGTAGCGTGCGACACAAATGGGGTTATTGTAAATCGTCGAGGCCTCCGCGCTCGACTTGTCAATAAATCACTGGTTATTGGTTTGATCCCGTATCAGAATTCAGCTCGGTAGTGGTCAGGATAATCGGTAGCCGAGGTAACCATAAATTTCGATACGCCGTGTGTCGGTGTAACGAGCTGAGAGTAAATGCATGAAAGGACGTTCGAAGTCTCCTTGGTCCCATAGACTAGGTATACTTTACAAAGAATTTCACGTCCTCGTGAAAATTCTATCAATGGCCATCGAGTGCGCCGCGTTTTAAATTCAAATTATCCCTTGTCGCTGTGCTCGATACGCTCGTCGGTTCGCCGCTGTTAAAAGTGCATTAAGCGCGATCGGCTTCCCGTTCAGTAGACTTTGGTAGAGGTAGAATCAAAATATATATCTATATACATACGTCGGTATTAAATGCTTGAAAATTCATGGCTACGCGCAGTGCGGACGTCTATAGTGCCGGCAGATGTCAGCACCTTCGCGTTCGGCTCGTATTTTGATAATACGGCGGTGCCTCCAGCCGCGTGTGATTTCAGTCGTAAAAAAGGCGACACCAGTCGAGACTTTGGTGACGCTAAAATTAGCCGTTATCTGAAAGATCTGTGGGACGTCAACGTGTCGGGATGTAACGCTTTACGCGGTCTGGGTATCGCGTGAAAAATCTTTCCCCCTTTTGACTCTATTTAATTGATAACGTACAGAAGGTGCGTAGATGGGATCGCCCGGTGCGAGCGGAAGGACGCCAAGAGGCCATTGGGAATCGGCCGGAGGACACGCTGGCTCTTCGAGGGTTGATCCTTGACGGTCGTTGACGGGAAGGACTAGCCTGCTGGATTCCCTTGAAACCGATGCACGTAACACGTGTGCTTGTTGGCCGGGACAAGAGGTTTTCGGTACGAAGAGCGGAAATAACATCTGCTCGTGTATAAAGAAGCCGAAAGTTTCGGAAGGGTCGACCGCAGGATTCGACAGTGTTGACTCTTTGCGGACAGGATGAGGCCTCGTGTAATATCCTGGGAACTTTATTATATCCAAGATGAAAGAAGGATTTCACGTCAATCTCATAAACACAGGTAATACACTATATACATATATAAGTATATGAGAAATTGAACAAAGTAAAAAGATGCAGTAAGTCTGCTGTCGTTCGATGACGATCTCCACGAGGCTAACGGCAAATGACATTTCTTCGCAGGAGACTCGAGGCGCTACTGGATATTCCTAATAAATATAATGGGAAGAACAAACAGCTTATGCAACCGAGCGAATCGGCCTGGTATTGTCATTATATAAGGATCGCAAGTCCGGTAGGAAAATCACACGGTCTACCGATGTTACCTAGATACGTTCTTCGGGAAGGGTCTGGATGCCTGACGTCAGAGTCTTGTACAGGCACAACA